ACGAGGCGGAGGACATGATGACCGTTCCCATCTACAGTTTTGGACTCTGCCTGTCCGAGTGCAGAATGTTTTTCGCTCTGCGGGTCTGCGGTTGCATTCCACACTTCTACCGGAACCGCTGTGGGTATAATCATATTTTCGGGACACAGAGTTGCACTTAATTGGCCCCCATTAAAGTTAACTTTTATGCTCGGGACTTGGGTTGGCTGCCGCCCAGTTTTATGGCGCAAATTCGGTCGTAAAATGTTTAAATACTCGTCGTAGTTTAAGTGGCAACTATTTTTTTCCTTTTTGCCCGATTATCTGTCTTCCTCGAGTGCAGCTTTATGCTTTATTATTATTTCCAGTGCGAAACGGACGGAAATTGCCGGTCTGTGGACTGGAGGGCATCGAATGCCTGGTCAAAATTAAACGTGAGTAATTTTCATCTTCCATGCAAATATTTAGCCAGCCCCGGAAATTCGATTTGAATTTTTTTGTTGGTTGTGGAAAAAAATGGATAGAAATTTCCCAGAACGTGACCATAATTTAATTTTTGTCCCTTCTTTGGGGATGGCCAAAAGTCAAGGCTATAGCAGGTTCAACCTGTTGCGTAATTGGAAAGGCGGAAATAATTTGCTGGGGGGACAGCTAACAGAATGAAGATTATCTGACAGGTTGACATTGATAAGCTGGACTAATGTTTTGGAATTAACTTGTTGAATATTAATGAGAGGGACAAGGTATTTTCTGTCTAAGCAGTCCATATGTTTGTCTCAGAAATATAAGTACAAAAATAAGGGAAATATATAGAAGGTGTTTTTAAAGAGAGACCATGTGTCTGTTAATAAATATAATATAATATTCATTGTCTGTTAATTTTCATACTGTTTTATTCATTATTATCCCTACCTTATTGTTTAATTTTATGTTCATTCTCCTTAAGTCTCTATATTCCCTATTCATCCGAAAAATGCATTCCATTAAAATCATTCCATGTCTACGTTTATTCATTTTGTGCTCTTTTCTCAGAAATTTTGTTTTCCTTCTGCCTGTTCCTATATATTTACCATATATTTCATTGTTTATTAATATTAACAATTTAAAACATTATTATCCTCCCTCTTAGGTGAAATAATTTCACTGAAATCGGACAGATACAAAATCAATTGCAATTGTTTGGCCAACTGTGATGACTCCAACTTCTTTGTGCAATCCTACGTAAGTATATATACATATATCGACCGCTTAAAATAATACAAAAAATAAACGAAAAAACGGCGAATCCCCTATTAAAATATATATAAAGTAAACTTTAACTGTAAAAATGTTTATGGCAAACAGAAGCGCCATCTAGTGCTCGTTAAGTGGCAACTGCAGACGCCGCTGCGTCGCGCATTTCAAGTGGAAAAATGCCCGGAAAACTGAGGGAAATCCGCGAGAATAGCCAGAGCGAACATTTTTGGTAGCGCTTTGCCTTAAACAAACATCAAATTTGTAGTCCGGGGCTATAAAAAATAATAAGCGCAGAAGTTGCAGGAACTGGGCGCCTTGAAATATGCAATTATTTTCGGGAGCTCGGAAAAGGGAGGCGTCGGCCAACCGAAACTTTGTGTTTAACTTTTTTTCGCGCTGTGTGTGTGCGGGTGTGTGTGTGTGCGGCGAAAGTTTTTACATTTAATAACAATTTTTGCTTACTTTGCCTTGTTACCAGAACGATGATGATGCAGATGATGTACATAGATGATGATGATGATGTTGTTCTCATTGTGCTTTTATTGTTAGTTATCTGCTTATCTTTACAAGTATTCTTTATATATATATATTTTGTTTATATTTTTTAAACATTTTCCTGGACTTTTCCTTAGCGTTCGCGTGTCTGGTTTCTGGGAGCTAATCTTCAATGGGGAATAATTGATTATCCTAAAATGCAACTTCGCAGGGATGTCCTCTTCTCCTTTGCCGATGTTTTGGGTAAGTTTTGGGTTTGTTTTACTAGATTCTTTCTTCTGTTACTTACTTTATTATTACTTTATTTATTTATATATTTTACAGTTTATATAGGAGGTCTGGTTGGATTTTTCCTGGGCTGCAGCGCCTTGAGCTTCACGGAAATAATTTACTATTTTACGGCTCGATTTGTGAGACGAATATTTTTTCATTGATTTATGATCAACAATAACTAATTGTTTATATAATTATATGCTAGTAATATCAATTATAACATACTAAAGATATATAGTTTAATAATTAACATATTTATCTGAAATTTTAAATTAAATAATTATTTAAGCAGAAAAGATAAAATAAAATAATGAGATAAATGGTAGATAAAGAATATGTTAATTTTTCCTTTTTCAGAAGCTTGTTACGCATTGAAGGAGCCTATAAATCATATATATTCTTGATCAGGATTAACTGGAGAGTCGATCCAGCTATGTCCGGTCGAAATCTATTTTTTTTTTTCAAATGTTCGATTTTTTATAAGGGGTTACATGGTTAAAATTGTCAAAAAATTGAAAAAATTTTAGTTTTATTTTTATGTTAAACTGATTCTGCAGTTTTATTAAACTGAAAAAAACTAACATAGGAGTGACTTCTGAATTAAAATTAATGCTTTTTTGGCTAAGTTATGAGTTTTAAAAATTTGATATTTTGGAAAAAATTGACATTAAATACTAAGGGCTTCCCGCAGTTTGTTTTCTTTTTTGTTTTCTCTTATTTATATATAACCACTAAGCAAGATGCTTAGTGATATAACTTATAACCAAAAAAAATGCTCTATAATGAAAATATAAATAATATATTAATATATAATAATAATATAATATAAAATGAACCATATCTCTACGATCTGTTGGACATTTCCCCCTGAACACTTAAGCTCTGCCTAATCACGCCAACTGCAGGCTTCATCTTTTTATTGGCCAAACATAAACAGCTCGCTCCCTCTCACTCTTACCTAATCAATAATAAAATACAATTGTGCAAAGTTGGCGAAAATCATACCGAGAAAAGTTGTGAAGCTCCCTAAAAATGTTTTCCACCTCATCATCATTGAACCTTCATTGTCCATGTTCCGTTGCTGGCATTTCAATGAACATGAACTGTTTACTTCTCCAAACTGCCGAGGGAGAGCCTGGGCCTGAGCCTGGGCCAGGACGAGGACAAATTGCGCTCCTTTTGTATTTTTGCTAACCTTGTCGGATTTTATTATTGGGCCCGTCCGTCGGTCTGTCCTCCGTCGCCAGACATTGAAATGAACTTTTTCCGTCTTGTTTCACATGTTATATGTGTGTTCTTAATATTTGAAGAATAATTTTGTAGTGGAGAGCAAATTATTTAGCTTGTAGCTTTTGCTTTGTTTATTTGTGTGGAAATATGGTACAGTGGGGATTCTTTAGTAATAATTAATAATATAGTACAAGTAATGGAAAATAATAGTTGATATTATAAATAAATATCATACTTTAATAACTTAGTAGTATTTATTTTTAAATTTAAATTTATAAATAAATGCTTTTAAATTTGAAACTTGTCAGGCTTTTTAATTGAAGTGTTTTTAATAAATTATCAAATCTACTTCTGCTTTCCTGATTTTTCCATAATGTTATATAATGTTTAAGCAGTAAAGATCTCCTAAAATATGGAATATATGCTAAACCCAGTTAAGTTTTTACACAAATCCACACTTAAACTTAACTAAAATTAATCAAATTTAATATCTTAAAGTATTCTTTAATTTTATATATTTTCAACACCAAATCCTTTAGTTTTTCTTTGCTAATACCCCCTGTTATTGCGCCTTATTGGTTAGAGTCTGGAGTTTGGCTTTCGCTCCCCTGACAATCACATTTCTTGGTGTATTTGTCTTGACTTTTCGGACAACTGAGTGAACTGTGACTGTCAACAAATAAATGCCGAAAAACTATAGTTCAGAAAGCTCATGAATTTATGCTGCCTTTTTCCTACTCCATTCGATTCTGTCGCGTCATCAATAAATGAGTGGGAAATGGTCGAGTAAACTGGGTCATCGGAGGAAATATTACTTTCTGCTAAGCTCCAGTAAATCTGCTTGAAGAATCAAACTTCTCTTCTAAAAAAATCTACATTTCAATAGCTTCATATTTTTTTATGCAAAAAAAAAAATACCCCATCGCTTTCCGTCAAATCACAAAGGAATTGTCAAAATGTGTGTGTGTGTTTTTGCACCTTTGCTGAGAGGAAAAACTGGTAAGGGAAAACCACAATCCACACGAGAATTTTCTCACCATCGCCGGGGACTGCATTTTAAATGAATAAAAGCGAAAGGGATGATTTTTTGGAGCCAAACTTTTGCACTTTGAAGTGTTTTTTTTTCGGAGCTGCTGAAAAGGGGTGTCGTCGTTCCTCATTTCCTCATATCGCATAAATTATGGAATTATTGAAATTTATTGTTAAAAAATTGCCATTGGCATTGTGAGTGAAGTTGGAGACTACTTTTTGGGTACATTATTTTTTCTCTTTTAAAGAACCTTCTATTGTCATAGCTAAGCCCAGAAAATTGCCAGGTTTTTGTTGCAAATTTCACTGGGAATTGATAAATTACCATGATAAACCCTTGATAATGTGTGGATAATGTTGAAAAAGGGGTGGGTTTTAAATTTAAACACCTAATTTTTTACTTTTAATTCTTTTTTCTCTAAGAAAGAAATTTACTTTATTATCTCTTGAGACTAAAATTACTTCTAATTATTATCGTGTAAGTTCATCCAAATTTAACTATTTTTAAAATTAAAAAGGTTTTTTTTTTTTAATTTTTCAAAATTTTTGCAATATGTTTCGATTTCTTTTCCCGGCATAGTCTTGTTAGCGCCATCTATCAAAATTTTACTGCAACTTAGAGGGCTATGAGCTGTGCTAAATTTTTAGCCCAGTTCAAACCCACCTCCCATTTGTTTAAAAATTTATAAATGTTAATTCTACAGCTTATACAATATAAATATTTTTATGTAATAATTATCAATAGTATTTAAGAATAAAAAAGAAGTATGTACAATTTAAAATAAATACAAGAATAGAAATAAAATCCTTCTGCCGGGATGGTATATTTCCACTAACATCTTCTGGTCACACTGCAGAAAAGGGAAAAACAAAAACAACAAACTGGAGAAGGGGCTTTTGCGGAAATTTCCACAAAACAAAAAGAAAATATACAAAAATAGACTCTGGCGAAATAAACCGCGTTGCAGAGCAATGCAAAAAGCGCCACCCTGGCAAGAGGGTCAAGGTGCCAGCGAGGCACTGCAGTCAGCGGCAGAGGCAGTGAAAGGCAGCGACAGCGACGGCGGCAGCGAGGAAGTGGCTAAAAAAACACTGATAAGAGGCGACGAAATGTTTGCACCTCACAGGATTTGCTTTTTGGGTCTGCTCTTTGGCCTGCTCCTCCTCGTGTTACCCGGGAGCGAGGCCACGCACATCAGCGGTCAGTTCCAGACGGCCGACTTCTTCCAGTTCCTGGTAAAGTTTGGCTTTAACAAGGCGGATCCCCAGCGGAGGAATGCCTACGGTTACATCTATGGAAATGTCACCTCGCCGGACAAGTATGCGGTTCCCTTGACTCTGGTTGTCCTGGATAGAAGCACCTTTGTGGAGTTCTATGGGAATCGGAGTAACAGGAGCCGGGAAGTGGCCTGCTCGGGCATGTTCTCTCGCCTGCAGAGGATTGCCTACGATTCCAGGTGTAATCCAAGAGCAAAGAGGGACTTTCTGAGGCACGTTCCTTGTCCGAAGGGCGAGCTGTGCAGCGATGAGGATGCACCTAGCAATGTGGTGCCAGGATCGCAGTTTACCTATGTCATTAATCTGGAGGCGGAACCAAGGTGAGTGCGGATATAATTAGTGTCTTAAATTTTATTTATTTATTTTTATTCATCAAAGGTTTGTAAAACAAAGCCTTATCATTTTCCTCGTAAAAATACTCACAAATAACGTGGCCATTATCTGTTTATTTCTGAAATAAATATAACAACGTTTACTTCCTGTCAAGATAAATGCATTATCTGCTTGACTTTCAATATAAACAAAAGCCGAAGTGGATTTTTACAAGCTTTATCATTTATCGAAACAAAAGAGTACTTGGAGATAATTAAATCTTACAAAATCACTAAACTAAACTCTCTACCCCCAGATTCTGGTACCTCTCCCTGGTGGCCTGCTATCAGAACCAAACCACCTGCCAGTGGCATGCACATGAGAGCCTCCCGCGACTGAGCAACCAGAGCAGCAAGCTCCTGAATACTCTAAACTACGACATCCACTTGGTGAACATCCATCCAAATCACTCGGCGGCCCATCCGCTGACCTATCAGTACTCGTACGATCAGCAGAATCTGCTGGAGATGTACCTCATCTTCCTGCTGGTCTATATAGTCCTCCTGCCAATGCAAATCTACGCGGTGCGACGGCAGAAACATCCGGTGACCAAGCTGTTCACGCTGAGCCTGCTTAGTGAGTTTGTAAGCTTGGCGTTAATCACTGCCCATCTGATCCACTATGCGGCCAATGGTGTGGGAGAGCCACGATTACAGGCGGCGGGCGACGTGCTGGACATACTTAGCCGCACCAGTTTCATGCTTATCCTGCTGTTACTAGCTAAAGGATGGGCTGTGACCAGACAACAGATAAGTAGGACGGGGTGGATCATACTCATGTCCATCTGGGTGCCATACTGCGCGTTCCACGTGTTCTTATACATCTGGGATAGGGTGAGTTCTCGCTAGTTTAGTCTGGGATCTTATGCCTTACTTTAAATATATATTTTGCCTGTCTACAGACGGAGGTGGATGTGGTCTCCGACATTGACGAGTACCAGACATGGCCCGGCTGGATAGTCCTGATTCTGCGGTGAGTTTCCTGCAAACCATAGCCTTCAAACTCGTATTTACATACTTACATTTTCCTATCCCCAACAGCACCTCCTTCATGATGTGGTTCCTGTACGAGCTGCGCAACACCATGAAGTACGAGCATTCCACCAAGAAGCTGGACTTCCTGCTGCACCTGGGCGCCTCCAGTCTGGTGTGGTTCATCTACCTGCCTATCGTGGCCATCGTTGCGCTGCAGGTTAGCCCCATGTGGCGCTACAAGCTATTGCAGGGTATTACCAACTCGGCGGATTGCATGGCCTACTGCGTGATGACCGGCCTGCTGTGGCCCCATAGAGCCGGTCAATATCTGCTCCTTGCGGGCACGAAATATGCGGGTGAGTATACCTTGAATATCAGGAGGAGTACGTGGATCTTATATATTATATTATGACAGGCATGGACGAACTGGACGAGTTCAATGAGGCGCCTCATATAGTGAGAGAGCGTGAGCGGCGTCGCAATTCCCCGCCCGATGACATTTCCATAGGCATGGGCAGTGGTGGAGGTCGAGGCATGGTCCTGTCCACTAGCATTCCAAATTCGCTAAACGGCGATCTGCTGGAGGCCGAGGATCTGGACGCCGAGCTGCTTACCGATCTGAACAAAAACAGCCACATCGTGGCGTAAGCAGCGGGCTTAATTCCTTAGCTATAGTAGTCAATTGTGCTAAATCTGAAGCAAGCGGAGTATCGATCATCCCTCCACTTGTTTATAGAGATAGCTGGATTAAGGTGGGTTGGAATTCTAGTTGTGAAAAGGAGAGCACTATTTTTTGTAAGCAATTCCAAAATCAAATTGCCTGTTACTGGTACCATTTTATATCTAATGTGAATTTAATTACCTAAAAGCCAAAAACATCGCCACGAAATCAACCCACTTTAGTCCAGCTAAAAATCAAACTGCGTGTATATTCCCACATAGTTAGTAGTCAGCCCAACCTACAACGAAGTCAGAGCGAGTGCAGCCGCGATTGTTGTGTGATTTTATGTATGTACTGTGCTTGAATTTACACTTAGTTTCTAGTTAACGCCTAGGAAAACGCTTCATTCGGCATCAATCCATTCGTTGCGGTAGCTAACATTTTAATGCGACAACTAACTACCGTCTACCTATTTAGATAAGGCAACATCGACTCCCCCTACTAAAACCTGCGGTATTTTGATAAGAAACTAAACAAACTGAGAAATTTAAACTGCAAACCGAAAAAAGATAGTGGGAATAAATGAACCATTTTTAAGATAAGTACGAACGTGAGGAGTCTTTGATTTGCTTTCTAGCTTTCAGCTAATTGTAACTTGAAATACTCTTTGGAAAGCATGAGCCATTTTTTCATTGCGTTTATAGTTTATTAAATATTATATTAGCCAGCTAAATTGATGATAATTATAGTAGTTTATCGAATTTATATACTTTGAAATTATTTACCCGCATATTATGTTATTTCTTAGACAAACAAATTGTAGATATAATCTTTTATATGGTTTCTAATTGATTTGAGTGCCTTATTTACTTATCATTTCTGTAAAACACTTTGAAGTCTTTAGAGTTTGACTTTTACTTATATATATTTAATAAGTTACCCTGATTATTTTCAAAATTTAAATATAAAACATATTTTATACAATTGGTTATTACTTTGTTTTTGGTAATTAATAATGGTGCTATGACATTTATGTTTATTTTCATTCTTTGACCTCCTGTTATAAGTATATATAAAAACACCATAAAACGTATTACAATCAGAAATCTCTAACCTAAGCCCCTGTTGCATGTCCTTTACCTAGCTCCCAGGAGACCTTTTAGTATGCATTTGTCAAGCAATTACTATAGTCAGTTCCTGTTTAAGCCCCAAACAACATGGTCGAGCTGTCTCTGCTGCGTTTGTACTTCGAAGTGAGTCGCCTGATTGGCCTGTCCAACCTCCACTACAGCTTCAAGGAGCGGCGCTTCGTCCTTAACCATGTACCGACAGTGCTCTACTGCCTACTGCTGAATGTGACCTATCTGCTGATCCTTCCATTCGCCCTCTTCCTGCTTACTGGTAACATATACGAGTGTCCAGATAAGGGCATGTTCGGAGTGGTCTACAATGTAGTTGGCTTAGCCGAGCTGTTCACCTTTGTGCTCCTCATTGGCAGTACTTGGATTCAGAGATGTCGCTTGCAGAGACTGGGAAATGACTTGATGGGCATGCTTCACAGGTTCCGCTTTGCCTTGGGCAATGACTGCCGAAAGAAGACCCTGTGGAAGGTCTTGCTGACCAGTTCGAGGTTCATGCTGCTCACCCAGCAGCTCGTCGCACGGGATTCGGTGGTGCACTGTGAAGTGAATTCCAAGCTAAGGAAAACACTGCTTCCATACTACAGAGCGGCCATTGTATACTCCCAGATTATGCTTCTCCTGGTGATCTATGTGGACCTGACTGTGTACATGGTCCAGGTGTCGGGGAATTGGTTGCTGACCAATATGACCCAGAAAGTGGAAGATATGATCCAGGATCTTAAGGCTCTGCCCCAACGGGGAGGTCTTCCTAGGGAGATGGCTCTCAGACAGATACTGCCCGCCTGGCGGAGACTATGGAGGCGCTGCCTTCACTTGGATTCGGTTCTCCGGGAGCTCTTGGAGGTCTTTCAATGGCAAATACTGTTTAACCTGCTCACAATTTATATTTTCAACCTAGCTGCCTTGTTTCGATTGTGGATTTATCTGTCGTTTGACAAAAACTATAATGTCTATAAGGGCATTGTGTATTCCATTCTGTTTCTCACCCATCACTTGGAGCTTCTGATGCACTTTTCCGTCTTCGAGACGAACCGCTCCAATTGGTTGGAACTCTGGGGTAAGGTGGTCAAGCTTTGGTATACGAATTATTCGGGTGACGGACTTAAGAACAGACACGGAGTGATGCTCTCCAGGCAGGTGGGTTCTTGGAAGATTATATAATATTTGGAATTTATTTCTATATTTTTTCTTTAGTTGGAAATATCACTTTTCTATCTCAATCGGAAGCTTCAACTGCACCCGCAGCGCGTAAGACGTCTTCATATCGCTGGCTTATTCGACATAAGCAAGTCTTCAATTCACCAGATGACCAGATCTTTAATCACCAATGTCATGGTTCTATACCAGATAGCCTACAAGATATATGGTTGAGATAAATCTTATAAATCTCTTAACACTTGCAAAAACATTATAAATATTATTTTTTAATTATACTTTACTTGTAAAAGAAACCTTTAGTAGGAATTTATATGTAATATTTCTTTAGTTTACAATTTTATAGGAAAATACCCTTATACTGTCGTAATAAAAACTTAACTTTTTGTGCCTTCCTGAGCTTTGCTATAATTCGTTATCATTTAATGTCCTTTTTTGTAGAATATGTGCCATAAAACAGGATGCCTTTGGAGAGTTGTCTCGGTTATCCACTATAAAATAAGCTTTGAGTAAGCTTTAACAATAAACTCTTTATGAGAATCTTTAACTTCTATCTAGAGGTAATTCGTATATCCATAAACTTTGCTAGAAATATAAAATGTGTGAAAACTTCAGGGAGATTAAATGTCTGAAGTATATTTAGGATGCAAACCATGTAGAAAAATGTGACAGTTAAGACAGCTTTAAATTCTATTAAATTGAAACATATTCGTACCTCTAAGACTGCGTTTTGTTCCTCACCAAATGCGTAAGGTACTGATGCTGATTGTTGGGCTGCTCCTGCCGCCTCAAGTCAAACTGCATCAGGACAACGACATGGCTCAGGATCGATCCTATATAGCTCAGCCCAGCGGGCTTGTCCAGCTCCACAACTCCGCAGATTTTGTAGACCAAGTGATTGCGTCGCACCTGCATAGCAAAGGCATCCAACTGTAGATATAAATTATTAAAATAACTACAAAAATATAATAAACTAGCAACTCACCTCCCTTTGGAGTCTCCCTCGGGCCTTAGGAATATCACTGAACTCCTTCAGCTGATGGCCCACATTGTTGCAGGAGCTCACCACCCTATCCAGCATATTCATCAGCATGAAGGTTCCCCAGACATTAAACACGATCAAGCCATTGCCAAAGATCACGCCCCAGCCATCGCTCTTGATGCTCTCATTGCTGTACTGGACTGCATGGTATAGGATACTCACGGTGGTCATGAACATGTTCAGGAACAAGCTGGCATTGGCCAAATCATACAAACTAAACACTCTCCTGGCTAGCTGAATGGTTTCCATGTGCATGGCGGCTATGGTGCGTAGGGTCCTCGACTTCCTGCCGCCCTTCTTCTTGTGAAGAGCATCTAAGGCCAGGTGGATAACCCTGAATTGATGTTCCAGGAGTACGAGCATTCCATAGAAGCCCATCTTGACAGCCAAGAAGTGCAGGAAGTGCGTTAATCTCGCTGCCAGGGCCAGCAAACTGTGTTTGTTGATCACACTCAGTAGTTGGAACTGTATCACGGTGGAGCAGAAGATGGTGGAGTAGAGCACAAACACCTTCTGACCCATCACCTTGGCCAGGGATAGCTGAATCTCCCTGAGTTTCCTTTTGTCCACTTTAAATTTCAATAGCTTCCGATATCTTCTCCAATAAGCCAGCGAGTCCTTGCTTAACTGAATGATGTCTTGGCGCCGCAGCCAAATGGTACCATAACAGCCTATAATAGCCAGTAATCGCAGTCCAATCATGGCAAAGAAGTTCCACTGCAGAATAATATTGTACTTGATGTATCCATCCAACAGTGCCGTCGGCAACATTAAATAGACGTTGAAAAACAGGAAGCTTCCCATGAAGAAGCTGTAAATCAGGTACATCCAGGTGAGCTTCTCCAGGCGCACTATTTTTCCGTAGGAACGAATCTCCAGCGTAGCTCCCATTAGGCCGAAGAGTACGGCGTGATAGTAGACCAAGTTCAACAAGCGTCCCAATTTCGGATGCAACATGTTCGGGTTAAGGTCGCCGGCTAACTGGTTAAGCTTTGAACTCATTAGGTGAAAGTCTGACATGGTCCGCTGGGAAGGCGATAAGTTGTCAGCACTGGGGCATCCGATTTCCGGATAGCGGAGCTTCCATCGATTACCCCGCCGTTGCGAGTTGTCCTTGGTCAGTAGCACACATGTTGTTTAAGCCCATTCAACTCTATGGAGCAGCCTGTAGTCGCTCTTCTGATGAGATAGTATGGTGCCCTTCACATTCTCACGGTACATGTACCAGGGGAGCAATATCATTGGAATCTATTTGGAGGGATGGAATGTCCTGGTAACGTGGAACTGCTGAAATAGATATTCATTTACATTTAATTTTTCGAGCCTATATAACTGAGGCCAGCTGGCTTGTCCAGTTCCACAACTCCGCAGATTTTGTATAGCAAGGGATTGCGTCGTAACTGCATTGAAAAGTCATCCAGCTTGGGGAAAATACAATTAAGGTAAGTAAAAAAATAAAATATACTCATAACTAACCTCCCTCTGAAATCGTCCGCTAACCTTGGGAAGATCGCTGAACTCCTTAAGCTGCTGACCCACATTGTTGCAGGAGCTCACCACTCTGTCCACCATGTTGAACAGGATAAATGTTCCCCAGACGTTAAAGACAACCAATCCGTTGCCGCAAATGATGCCCCAACCATCGGACTTGATGCTTCTATTGCCATACTGGACAGCGTGGTACAGGATATTCATGGTGGTCATAAACATATTCAGGAACAATGTGGCATTGGCTATATCGTAAAGCTTGAATACAGTCTTGGCCAGCTGAAGGGTTTCCAAGTGCATTGCGGCTATTGAGTGCAGGGTTTTCCATTTCCTTTTGCTGCTCTCCTTATGCAGGGCTGTTAGTGCCAGTCTGATTACCCCAAATTGGTGATCTAGCAGTATGAGAACTCCATAGAAGAACATTTTAACAGCCACAAAGTGTAGCGAATGGGAGAGCCTCGCAGTCAAGGCTATTAAACTATAGTGGCTAATGACACCCAGCAGTTGGTACTGAACCACCGCAGAGAAGAAGAAGTACGAATATAAAACAAACACTATTTGCCACATTATCGCGGCCAGCGATAGTTGCAACTCTCTGAGTTCATCCTTATTCACTGTAATCTTCGTTATTTTCGCATACTTCTTCCAATAAATCAGCGATACCTTGCAGAACTCTATGATATTCCGGCGCTTTAGCAAAATGGTTCCGTAGCTGCCAATAATAGCCATCACTTGCAGGCCAATCTGCACAAAAGAGTTCCACTGGAGGACGATGTTGTACTTGATGTAACCATCCAGAATGGCCTGGGGGAACATGAAGTAGATGTTCAGGAACAGGCAGGTCCCAATAACCACACTGTAGATCGGGTAAATCCAGGAGAACTTCTCCAAGCGGACGGTTCTCCTGTACGAACGTATTCTCAGAGTGGTGCACATCAGGCCGAAGAGCACGGCGTGGCAGTGGACAACGTTCAGCACGCGACACAGTTTCGGGTGCAACATGTTGACGTTAGGGTCGCCAGACTACTGACTAGACTTCGAGCTCGAAATAATAATTGAATAAAGGGCGATGGCATCAGGACATTAGATTTCCCGCTCGATAACATGGGGAACTTCCATCAATTGCCGTTCAATCGTGAGTCGTCTTTCATCGGTGAAGCAGTCATGTTGTTGAAACTCTTCTACTTCTACGGAGCAGGCTGTGGCCTGATGCCTGCCCTGCTGAGGAAGAGGAAGTTCCTGCGGGGCTCCTGGCAAAGAGGCTACCTCATCTACACGGCCTGCCTGCATGGGGTGCTCCTGGTCCTTCTGCCCTTCACATTTCCCCAGTACATGTACGACGAGAGCTACATGAGCGGGAACCTGGTGCTCCAGTGGGTATTTAACTTAACCAACATAACTCGCATATTTGCAATGATTTCCGGTGGTTTCATGATGTGGTCAAAGAGGGAGAAGCTTCAAGAAATGGCTGTGAGGACATTTAATCATTGCCAGAAGTGCAAAAAGCTAGGCAATGATTCTAGCCTCAGGAAGAGCATTCGCGGTCTGCTGGGCCAGTACTTCTTCGTCCTCAACTTGAGTATCCTGGTGGCCTTTTTGCTGCTCTCTCGAATCGACACGGATCAGTGCTTCAGAAATGCCACCATGATTGTTGTGCACATCCTGCAATTCACCTATGTGGTCATCATGACGGCGGCTCTCTATGTTATTCTGGTGTTCCTCCACTGGCAGAACGAGCGAGTGAATATGGCCCTCAAGGAATTGTCCTTCTCCCTGCACCACGAAGAGCGTAACTCCCTGGTCCTATCCGCAGGAAAAGCCAGAAGATCCCTGAACAATCTACGTAACCTCTTCCAGCTATATTCCGAAAATCAGAGACTGAGCCGTGAAGTTTTTGGCATTTTTGACCTGCCCATAGCCCTGTTGTTGCTGAAATTGTTTGTGACAAACGTGAATTTAGTATATCATGGCGTTCAGTTCGGCAATGATTCTATAGAAACCTCGATGTACACTAAGTTCGTGGGACAATTGGTGGTAATTACACATTACTGGAGTGCAGTCTTGCTCATGAATGTTGTGGACGACATAACCCGAAGGAGTGGCCCTAAAATGGGGGATATTTTGCGAGAATTCAATGACCTGGAACTGGTAAAGAGGGAGTTTCATTTACAGGTATTATCAGACGTAGTTTTAGTTATTACTTACTAATCAATATATTTCCAGCTGGAACTCTTCTCGGATCATGTGCGGTGTCATCCTGCAACTTACAAAGTCTGCGGCCTCTTTGTTTTCAATAAACAAACAAGTTTGGTTTACTTTTTCTATGTTTTAGTGCAGGTTCTGGTGCTTGTTCAGTTTGATTTGAAGAATAAAGTCGATAGACAGTAACTACACTTGGGAACATATAATTAAAATCCTTTAATTTCATATTAAAACAATTTTTTATAAAGAAAAACAACGGAAGAACCAACTTAGCTTTCACGAATTGTTTACTTTTTTGGAAGTGTTTTGCAACACTAAAAACACTGCCACTTGTGGCAAGATCACCTAATGGCGGCATTTATCTGGCAACTCTGTTAATGAAATCGATCGCGACGCGTGTGTTGTTCCGCGAAAAACGTTTTATTTTCTTAAATTCCGCAACGCCTGACCGGGAATGTGTGTTTTTTGTGTGCTTAATTGCTTGCCGCATGCCATAACAGTTATTAAATATTAAAAGCCATTAATCAAATGTGTTTTCGACCGCTGCGAGGGGAATAACAAAACGCCAATGGCATGCAAGGAAGAAGAAGAAAAGTGAGACTTCTTTGACCAAAGGAATGGAGCCAGGTAAATTGCTTAATTTTATGCACATAAATACATAAATAAATATGTGCGTTATGCTCGTATGTATGTGTGGTCTCCTGGGTTTCCAAAAATCATAATATATTTACTCGGCCCCGAAGCGGGAAGGAATTAATTCAACCCAGATAATTTCAATAAGCCCCATCAGGCTGCCCACACACAAAGGTACACAAAAACACAGCAAATGTGTGTAGTGCACTGTGAGAAATTATGCTAGAAGTTGATAATTAAGCTTAACTAATTGAAATCAAGGCTTATTGTGTATTTATTTTCCAATTGTATTGCATTTCACCAGCTTTTTGGTATAGTGTGCCCCTACTCCCATTCTTACAAAAATACCTAAGGCAGTATTTCAAGGCTGGCTACTTCAGCGGCATTTAAATTTCAAACTGTATTAATAACCGTTTTTCTCTCCGTGCACAGTAATCCTCGAAGAGTGAGACCTCTTTTGTCGGCTGACAAATCAAATTTAATCAAGCTTTTAGCCAAGAAGTCGGGAGGGGAGTAAGGCCCCCAAGCTTGATTTTGGTCATTAAATCTGTCTTGCGGGGCACACAAACTATCCGATTGCTTAACCCACTCACGACGCGCCCCCTTTGACCCCCACGCTACCCTTCTCAATATTCCTTAGCTTTTTGGTATTAATTCCAATTATACGCACGGCTGGGGAATTTTCATTTGGACTGAAAGGATTGCGGGTCATTATGAGCTCTACTCTACTCCATCATTCTTCCTTCACTGCCAAGCCAGTCAACCAGCCAGCCACTTCTTCGTCCTGGCGTATATTGTATATTGTTTTTGGCCGGAGGAGCCCCTGGGGATGGGGTTAATTGGCCAAGGTTTTGTGTATCGATTGCAGGCTGTGTGCTCTCGTGATTGTGACATGGCCGAGACCACAAAACGAGAACAAATACGATTTCTTTTGGTAACTAATTAGCAAGCTGGGCAAGTTTGTTGCGCAAACAAATGCTCCACATGGCTCCGTCTCTCTTCTCTTCTCTTCACTCTGAACCGATTTAATTAACCCTTTGACAGCAATAAACAGAAATGAAAATTATGAAAATGTTGCCTCCAAAATACTCTGTGTATTGCCAAGTCAGCAGCAACCGTTGAAAATGGCAATTTAGTTGCCAACTTTGCCTGGGTAAATTATTTTACAAAAAACAGTCGAACTTTGCTAAATGGAATTGTTAAATTTTTAAATTTCAATTAAATTTAAAGCGTTTTCTGATTTGGCAAATGCTTTGATCAGTATCTAATTAAATATTTTGTTAAACGTTTTTAAAGTTTTAAAGTAATATTCAACTGGTTAATGGAAAACTTCTCTGGTCCGTCTACGAATTTCTCCTGTAATTCGATTTTAACGATGTCATTTTAGTCCTTTTAAAATTAGTAGAGACCCAGGCCCAAAACCTATTACACTCCACTGAGCTGAATGTAAAATGTGGAATATTTCTTGCATCCCTGGTTCTTGCATGCCCTTAAAATGCAATTAATTCGTTATAAAGTTTTGGCAATAGTTTCGGACTAAGCTTCGTTCAACATTGAGCCCCCCGAATGGACATGGACAAGTTTTCCAGGAGGGGGTTGGCTGAGGCGGGGGGCCGGAAAAACAGTTATCAACACCAGGATCAGGCAGTGGGCCAGGTCAGGGGAGAGCAGAGCATAAAAGTGGGTCAAGTTATTTTCAACACTTAAAATAAACTCTCCTGCTTTGGGTCTCCTCTTTGCTCATTGCCAAAATGCTGGCCAGCATTTTCTTTTGACCACCGCCCCTCTTTCTGGGTCAGTCCGTGTAGTCCGTGGTCCCCACCCCCACGTTCACCCCAATTTTCCAGGCAGCTCTCCCCCCCACTTGCTTTTCCTATCCCGCATTGTCATCGCCGTCGCCTCGGCGCATAAATATAAATTGTATTGTTTCAAAAAAGTTTTCCCACTGAGTTTCTGCGGCCAGCGGAAAAAGTAGTTAAAGTTTTGTTTTCGCCGCTAGTTTATTGCGTGATTTCCTTCGCAATGACAGCCTGCCCGCTGGGTGGTGTTTTTTGGGTAGCCTTTGCCGCGGTCTGAGTGGCGAGTGATAACTGCAAGAAGGCGAAGGCGAGAAAACATTTCGTCCGCCACATAATTCACATTTTCTGCCAGTGCATTTGTGTGTGCGGCTTTTAACAAGTTGTGGCTTCTTTTGGGAAAATACCAAATGAAATGGAAGCGAAGCGAAAGCTCGAAAGAAACTTGCGGAATTCTCATTATATAATCGGATCCCTTCAACAATTTGATAAATATTTTGATTGTCTTGAGAGCGAGAGAGAGAGAGGGAGAAACTGATGGAAATGGGTTTTAAATATGCCAAAGATTTGCTCTTAATTTGTTAGCTGATTATAATGATTAATGAGAAGTAAGAAAATATAATTAGAGTGGGATTCTGTAGGTTTATTTTTGAATACTTTTGTAAATATTCTCACCCAAAACACTCATTTTTCTAAGCACGCTTTTAAACCCAATGCTTTTGGCTGTAATTTCCTTTTAAATGTCCTTCGAAATTGCCAAACCAAAATCTGTAATCGAAACCCTCTACAAAAATATAGTTGCCATTAAACGTGATTGCCGAATTATTGGGTTATTTTTATTTTTCGTTGGCGCACTTAACCAACCGAATAGCAGCTGGTGCCATTTCTAGGTGATAGCACCACCTCTCAGAATGCTCGAGTACCTTAAAGTTAAGGGCACTTGGGGCGAGTTTACCATTCCGGCAATGCAAGTAATCGTTATGCACGTACCGCCACGTGACCGAAAGTCAAAAAGGAGAAAGGCGGTGAGCGCGGGGCGTGGCCATTTCCACAGATCGGCGCTTTTCCATTCCGAGTCCCTGCAGCGTTCTGGTATTTCTAATTGCATTTTTACTTAGTGGCCAAGTCAAAAAGTTTCATCTTTCAGCGAGGGGCAAAGGAGGGCAAAGTGAGGGATCTGAATGAAGATGGTGCTTGGCAGGGGGGGGGGAAGCCCCGTGCGTAAAGTTTAATTAAACGTGTTTGATTTATGACTTGTTGGGCATTCGGCTTCTGCCGCCAGCTGCAACCGCAATTCCAATTTCGAAAACCTAATGCGTTTATTTTTGGGCGTCCTTCTCGTGTGCAAAAGGAGGCGGAAGTTTACCTCGCTATTTCACACTTTTTTACACTTCAACTGAAATATGTTCTTTGATTTTAAGAAATATAAATAAAGCAATGATTGTGTTTGTGCTCAAGAGAGTTTAAAGGTAGATAAAATTGCTTAATTCCCACCTATGATAAAAGAAACCTTCTTCATTTTTGAGTTTACTTGAATTTCTCTCACTGTATTCGTTCCCATGCTGGACATAAAAGCGAATCACCTTTATGGCAGCTGCAGCTGTGGATGTGGAATGCGTGGGGGCGTTCGAGTGCTGCGCTGCCATATGATTTCCGCTTCCGTTTCAACACACAATTTTGAGCACCTTGGCAACGTCACCATCTTGGCCCCGCGTTCCATTAAGCGTTTATTGTTTTCGTGGCCATTAAAGTTGCATTTCCCCCCACCCACAACGAAAAACATCCACGCCTAACCCAAAAGAAGGAACTTCAAACGGAAACTGCGAACTTTTCCTCAACAAGTTCATCATGAAAGTTATTGGCACACGAACCAGCAGGTGGGATTGGTAGGGCAATCTAGGCGAAAATCCCAAGGCTTTAGGTTTTTCTCGGGGCCGCAAATCAGGTCAGGCCACAAGCACAAATCTCTGGCTCAATCCATGCTGAAAAATATTCCACGATAATCAACTTTGATACACGTTTTGCAGGAGAGGAGATGCCATCGTCTTGTGCCTTGTAGGCTTTTCCGCCCTGCCATGCATTAAAATGCCGAAAATGATTGGGAAAATCGCAAAAGAAATCCGGAAAAAGGCCGGCACCCAAATCTCTCTCTAACATCGAGGCCAAGGCGAAAGTCCTTTCCCCTCTTCCTCTCGCTCTCTCTGTGTGTGGGTGCCTGTCCCTTATCCATATTTTTTATGGCCTCGAAGGAAAATGGAAAAAGTTTATGTTAAAGCCACTTGCTTGCCTTCGTCGATGAACTGTGTGTGGATAATCGCGAGGCCGGTTCCTTTGGCCATATCCACTGGCTTAGCCGTGGCCCCTTTAACTGTGGCTGTGGTTGTGTTTTGTGGCTGGTTATGGTGAGTCCTTGGGGTGTTCCTGGGTGATAGGTGCCGCCTAGATGTTGGCCAACTTAATGCGGTTCCCACTGTACGGGGGCAAAGGTAAAAGGGAAACTTATATATCTGACTCCAATTAGAAGGGATTGCTATTACAATTCTGGGCTACAGCTTGAGCTTTGCCAATTTAATTGCTTGAAAATGTATAGAAGAAATTAACACCGAATTCATTAAAATTGTATTGCAGTCATCTTAAACCATAGTGATTTTGAAAGCATTCTCGATAGAGGATTATATGTACATAACAAACACACACAGGCAACTGTTTTAGAAATAAATAATAACTTGGAATGTTATTAATTGCTTTTCAATACATTTGTCTCTTTTCTAAAAAAAAAAAACACTATCTCTGCGAGTTAGCCATCGATAATTAAAAGACACAGCACTGTGATTGCTTCAACACACTTAACAAAGTGCAATCAGTGGAAAATCAGAGAAAAAATATATATATGAAATCGCTGTCTAACTGAATAACCCTTGGCAGTGCGGACAGTTTCTCCAATTGCTTTTGTCACAACACACTAATTGGTTGGATTGGTATTGACAATACGCGAAGAATTAAATCCACAAAGTGGCAAACAGAAAAAAGCAGCTCTCAGATACAGATACAAATACAGATAGAGATACGCCCGCCGCCTGACAAAACACAACTAACAGTTCACAGTCCACTTCATCTATAATCCACTACAGAATCATTTTCATAAATGCTGAAATATATATACTATAGTTGGGGAGAAAAAAGCGTCAATATATATTTCATTTATGGCAACGTTTCGCGTTTATTTTTTTGTGCGAAAATGAATTTTTACATTTAACATGACCAATTAATGTGCGGCAAAGCCGCAAATAAAACCGCTTAATTACGTGACACGGCCAAAAGGCAGGCCAGACCCGGACGCAGCCAGACAGACGGCCCACAAAGGCCAGGTGGAGTGTCGGTGGGGGGGGGTGGGGAGCTGCAGAAATTTGCATGACACGCATCGAAATGAAATAATAATATGGTTAATAAAGCCAGCCGCATCTGATTCATACACTCCACCCAGACCACATCCCTACCCAAAGGCCGGGGACAGCGTCAACCGATTCCCGACCAGAAACCTGATTCTCTCGAATCCCGAATCCGGCTCGAGGCCAATTATCGCACTTATTTCGCTGCTAATTAAAATGCAATTATTTGCTTTAAACAACATAATCCCATTGATGGGCAGCATTTCGTTTTATTTGCATATCGATAAAGCTAGAGAAGAGGCTCTATTGGTATAAACATGAGGTGGGGTTTTCAGTCAATTTAGTTGGGGCTTCTTTTTAATTCCTTTGATTTGATGATTGATAGGAAAGTGTACTTTTTGATTATTTCAACTCTTTCTGCTTCCTAAGCAGTCGCAGCTTCATGAGTGAGTCCTGCAAACTAAAATTAAACATTTCTTGTAATTGAACCGTATAAGCTTTGTTTTCTTTTAGAGGTTACCAGGAAATATATATTTTTCCTCCTCCTCTTTGTTCTTCTTGGTGTCCTCTGTGGGATCCTTCTTGATCAAGGCCAAGTTGCAGGACATTTCAGACGAAATCGAATCTTTCTTTGGCGAAAGAATTGCTGCAGATTCAGACTGAGCAGTGGAAGATATTTTAGAAATGAGCTATTTATTTACTACCTTGACCTGTTTATTTTATAAATATTTTTTATGTCAAGGGAACTATTAACCTTAAATATTAATATTTGCTGGTATTGCATCTTGTTTTCGCAAACTTACGTTTATATTGAAATTTGCAGTTTTGAGCGGAATAACACTTCCACAACTGCGTCTCATATTTGGTTTTCTTCTTCAAGTTTTTTTTTTTTAATACCAATAAAATCGAACGAAATACAAAAACTTCTTTGAGTGGAATGACTTGTCAACTTTACAGCAGTGTGACCAGCCTGAAGAGTGAAAAAGTGACCAAAGCTAGACAGTTCAAATACACCAGGCGCTTTTGAAGCTTTGGAATACAATTTAATTCAGAAATCTTCAAAATACAATAGACCAAAATCAAATTTAATGGAAATAAATAAATAAATAATATAAAGAAGATTTGTAATCTTGGAGGTTAAAATTAGGAAAACAGATCCCATATTTTCGGATTTCCAGCTCCGAGTTATAAAATAGAGATGGAAAGACCACGTATGTTTTTCCGTTCAACCTTCGATATTTACCTACGACTTCCATCTCTACCTTAATGTATATACAGAATGAACAACTTGTAGAACTTTTTGGGAAATCCAAAACACACAATGTTTTTTTAATGCCTTCTTGAAAACATTCCCAAGAAGACAGCCATCCTTAATGATAAATTATATCTTTAATAACGATCCCTTAATTAGTTCTTAACAATAAACATTTTTCAGTAATAAACCCGCTAGATCCTAGGGGTGTAATGAACACTACACATCGGTCTCCGTGTACCCATCCTCGTCGTCCTCGGCAGTGATATGAAGACGCAGTGGTGCTTTGTTGTTGTTGCTGCTATGCGAGCGCATCGACCGATGCCTGGGACTTGTAGAAGACATCAATCTGGTCACCTGAGGCACAGATCTAATGGCCGGTGGAGCCGCGCTCATGACATATTGACCCCTGTTGGCGGCCACATTGCGTGCCGCTTCATCCGCATAATCTCTGATGATCTGCCAGAGGGGCTGTGAGTCTGCCACTCCGCGAGTACGAGCCTGAAGCAAGGCAGCCGTGGCGATCAGAGTGAAGTTCATGATGCCGGCATTGAAGATTTCCAACCATCCCCGAACCTGAAGCTCAGCATCGGTAGAATCAAATAGGGGCACTGGGATGGGCAACGGAGGAGAAGCCAATGGTACCAGCACAACATCGGGAGGAGCAGCAGCAGCTGCCTGATGCTCGAGATGATTAGAGCCCACGGAATGACCATTGAAGGTCCGCTTTTGGGGCAACTTCAGGGGCTCCGTTGACGAAGACGTAACAGTAGCCGAAGCTTGGGTAATGGTTAGCTGCGGCTTGGCTAGGGCAATGGCCAGGATCGAGGAATAGTTATTGTTAGCTGCAGAGGAATAACCATTGGCTGCTGACGAGGGATAGCCATTGGCAGCTGCAGAGGAGTAGCCATTGCCAGCTGGAGAGGAATATTTTTCTAAGAGGAATATTGTTGCTGCAAATCGAAACATGAAGCTCACCTGGAGCAGGCTGCTGCGTTGCCTCGCGGGCCATCCGCTGCTCGGCTCGCTTGACCCAGCCGCGCACCGTGGACTCCGGGACACCAAGCTCGCGGGAGATCCCTGCCTTGGTCTCGCCACCTCGAATGCGGGCAATGGCTCGCTCCTTCTCGTCCAGCGATACCTGAACCCTGGGCCGCTTGCCGCGTGGCACTCCGAAGCGCTCCATGACTTGCGAAAACAAGAAAACCGCTTAGAACTTGAGAAGAAGTACCAAGAATGGATGGAAGGCCAAAGAACTTTCGATTGCTTTTTGGATGTACAGATTTCGACACAATTTCCACACTCGCGCGTAGCTCTCTGCTCAGCTCGACGACACACGGCGTTTGACAGGATTTGGGAGGTTCGTTGGCCAGCTTTGCTTTCGGCTGCTCCCGGATGACATTTAAAGCGGCGATGAGGTGGTTTTCTTCGCGTTCCCTTGCGTTGGCAACATTCTTCGGCCAGCTTGTTTTGTTTTGCTTCACTTTCTCTTCTTCTTTGCTTTCGTTTTCTCTCACTCTTTCGCCATTTTTAGCTTTTGCCGGCACAGAGTTGCATTTGGAGGTGAGACTGTCCACTCGCGCGAAACGAAGAGATTCCATTGAAATTGAAAGTCATTCATTCTCAATTTCTCACTTTATTTATTTTCATACTTTTATTTATACATTTAATTCTGACGTACACTAAAATATGTGTCCTAATTTTCAAGTATTTTCCATCTTCTTTTAGGGGGTATTTTCTGTAACATTTCTTTATTTATTTATTTATTTTTTTATTATTTCGGGCATTGCTGTTTATATGTTTTGTTGGGGGTTTTTACATATCTTATTGAGGGTCGATTGTACCTTTAAGGAGTCTAAAACGGGCTCTGTGTGTGGGGAAGTTTTCATTTCAACAATTTTCGCATGGAAGTAAGGGCACCAAATTAATGGCTTCCATGGTTTTCTGACAGCTCTGCCAACTCTCTTAGATTCTTAAGAACCTACTTCAAAATAGACTTAAACTCTAGAGAACCATTTCCTGGTTGCAATTTACAATTTTCTGTTACGAGAGAGAGAGAAGGGGATTTCTCTAAAATTCTCGCCACAATTTGTGGCCTCCTTTTATTGGGGAATTTATGGTTTTATGGTCTAGGTAAATCTATGTGCAAAAAATATACCCTATGTATTGTATATATATCGTACATTATATACATATGCATGTATATATGTGTATGTATGTATATATATATGCCTGGTTTTTTGCTTGACAATTTGCCAATAATAGTACAATTTATTCGTATTGTATTGTTTATCGATATAATAACTAATAATAAAAACCACCAACAATTGTTTATTATTATTATTATTACTTTGAATTAAATGTTTTTCCGTTTTCGCTTTGGTTTTTTTGTCTTTTTTACCTGTCGTCGCCTGTGTTTACCTTAATTTAAAACTAGTCGCTTTATGTCGCTTTTAAAGTATTTTCCTTCCTTTTCTCTCGTTTCAACAATTATCACGTGACAATTTTCCATGTTTTTTCTTTAGTATTAATTTATTCATTTTCCTTTCTTTGTGTGAATGTGTGTTTTTTAAAAACATTTATATGTTTGTGAGTTGTTGTTTTTTTTATTAGTTTTTATCGTACAATTATTTGCATTTAATATTCATTAGAGATGTCACGTAGAGCGAAAGTTATAGACTCGATCGGGCAGAGCTACTTACATAGTTATAGACGTGGGGTTTCCTAATTTTCAGTTTAAGAAAAGTGATTTAAAGTTTCTAGAGAAGTTTTTTTAGAAGAACAATTGGCAATGGTTTGTGGCAGTGCACTGGAAGGGGTTTTGTTGAAAAAACCCCTTAAAATATTATTACTGCATTGCATTTGTGTGCAAATTTAATTAAATGCGATTTGTTAAATTATTGATTAAGGAAAATAATTTTTTTGTGAGGAAATTTCAATGTAAAACATTTAAAAACCAAGGTAATCTACTGAAATTATTGATTTGGGGAATATTTTTGTCTCAAATAATTGATTTACTAAACACAAAGACAATCTAGCTTTTAACAAAGTTTTCAAAATAACATAATAATCGTATGGCGTTAAGCATCTTATTCATTATGCTGACAAAAACCTAGGCCAAACATTAGTTTAATGGTTGCCAGGGAAAACATGAGTCACCTCTTCATACAAAATTCTCTTTGCTTGGGCAGAACATTTGCAAAAAATATCCAATTCTGAAATGTCCACCAATTGATCCTTAGTAATCCTCTTGCAGATGATGCCTTCCCTGCTGCTTCGGCGACCTCCTGCACATCCTTCGGAGGATGGCAAAGAGCAGTGCAAACATGAGACACAGCCCCGCAGTAATCAGAGCCAACTTGCCGTAAGGAAGCTCGCTGAGATCACGCCGCAAACAGATCTCTGGGGACTCGTCGTGCAACACCAGCTGCCGATACTCACCGGCATGATGCAGCAGACCCAGTTGCTCCAGATTCCACTCAATGTGCCTCGTCAGCTGCGACAGCGTCGAGGTGTGCGTCACATTCGGACAATTGGCTATGCCGTTGCAGAGCAAATGCCGGGGAATGCAGACCTCGGTGTCGCCGGGACACCGGAAGTCACAGCCGCCATCCTGGAGCAGTGAGGCGGCCAGGCTACCGTCGGGATTGCGAGGCAGGTGGAAGAGCTCTGTCCACACCAGCCGGAAGATATTGCGTCCCGGCTGACCGTCACCCGTGTACTGGATGAGCACAGGCAAAGGCTCCTGATCGGCGCCCGTGGCTCCCAGCTCGGCTGTGGTCAATATGGGCAAGTCCCTGGCCAGGGATATGTTCTCCGGACAGACCACGAAGCGGGGCTCCAGGCGTCCCGCCAGATACACTTCGATTTTGGCACTTTCGCAGCTGCGATCCGCAAAGCGAGCCTTCTCCAGATTCAGCCACAAATCGCGCTGGGCGGCAACCTTCAGCTCCCAGATGCATTTCTCCCGCCGATAATGATGTTCGGGAGGTGCCATAGGTCCCGACACCATGGCCAAGGCCTTCTTGTACGGAAAGACTAGTTCTCCATCTGGTGAAGGTCCCAGAGTGATGGGTCCACATAGAGGACCATGAGCAAACTCATATGTGGCCTCGAACAACGGATTCGGGTTCTTAAAGTACGACGTTATGGCATGCTGCCCCTGCACAATCATCTCGAGATTCATTTGATCCGCCGAGGAGATCACCCTCACCGCTCGCGGTATATTGTCACAGAAGCATGCCAGATTGTTCTGATACTTGTCCCGCTCCTCCCAGATCACCAGCTTGTCCACACGCTCCTCGTGACAGCGAGTACAGGCATTGCTATTATACGGCAGCTCCTTAAAGGACACCGCATTCACCTCGATAATGGCACGAGCATATAGCCTTCGATCCGTCACAAACTTGTACTGACAACGCACATCACTGCCGCCCGTTCGCTTGAAGATCAGGGAATTCAGTGGCGACCGCAGGCGGCCACCAGGATGCTTCCAGGCATACATCACCTCATCGCAAAGGGTATTGGGAACAGGGTCCCCGAATCGTGTATTATTGAAGAAATCATAGTGCGCCCAGTAATACAGTGAACTGCCACTATAACTGCCCGTCTTGGAGTCAAATTGAACATACAGCGAGGGACTAGTGCTCACAAAGTCCACCTTTTCCATTGGCCGCGAGAAAGTGTCACAAAAGGTCTTGATAATTCTCGCAGGATCAGCATGATCCGAGTCATAGATCGTCAAGGATTCCCCGCAATCACCTTCGTACTTTAATATGGGAGATTCAATGCGATTGATGCGGAAACTGGAAAGAGGAGAGGGTGAGTTTTTGAATTATTTTTATTTATAATTGATTGAAAAAGAAATAAATCAGGGATACTATGTCCTGTTATCTACAAGATTTTTCTTAATAACAATTACTACAGTATTTTCTTACAAACATAACAAAGAATTTAAAAGCTTTTAACAAGTATATATTATAAACTTTATAGTTATATGTAAACCTTGACTTTAAATCTTATATTTCATAAAGAATAATATTTAAAAGCATGCTTCTTTGTTCCTGTTATTCACTTTCATTTCCTTATGCTCTGCAAAAATTGTCTCTTAATTATTTATATTATTTCTTTCCTTGAATCTTTGAATTTAATCCTGAATTTTTGTGACAAACTTTTCTATATGATCTTTAGCCATTCCTCTGGTAAAAACACCTCACTCTGTCGGCTGGCTCTTTGCCAGGCCACAATTCTGGTCGCGTCTTTAGGTTCTACAATTTAATATAAATTCCTGCCTGCCAACAGGTAAATCTCGCCACCGTCGCCATACACACGTAGCCTCGTTAAGGATTTTTGGGGTCGCGATGTGAGTTGCATTTTGTGACCCCCCTTCCAGACCCAACCCCTCTGCCACCCCACATCAAATTGCATTCCAAAAAAGTATTTGTGGCAGGGAAGCCCAAGGGGATGAGAGCAGTCAAGGATATTTGAAAAGGAGTTGATGTGGAAGGCCAATTTTCTGCAGTTTTCCTGCATTACGCTGGCAGTTGATGTGGCTGTGAATGGGGGGATAGGTACACGAGGTGGGTCAGTGGAAAAGCGGGAAAAACTATATTATAATTAAAGTCAACCATAAATGGTTACAATATACAGTTTTCCTCATAAATAAATACCCATAGCCAACATGTAACATGATATTTATCCGCAGAGAGGACCTCAAAATGACATTTACAGTTCTCTTTCCTAAAAGGACGACGAACTTATACCACAAATTCCACAAATTGTTATATAACTCGACGCCTGTTTAGCCCTTTATGCATATATCCCTCTATATAACCGTCATTCAGGGTGCGGTGAATACAGTCTATGCAATTACATTTTGGCTCTATCCAAAAATATGACATAATACAACATTTTATTAACTCACACAAAGTTGGGGCACAGCAAAAAAGAAAATAAAGCGGAAAAAAAAGGCAGACCGAGAAAAATCACCATCATCAGCAGTTTTGAAAGCGGGGGCGTTGCGGGGGGGTTACTGCCACGCCCCCTAATCTGGCAGCAGGCAGCAGTGTGGCACAAATTTCATTTGGTTTCGCTCTTGTTTTTTATTCCTGCGAGGGAAAAGTCCCTCCAACCTCCGCTCCTCCGCGTCACTATTCATAATAGAGGAGCAGCAGAGTTACTATTTTTTTGCACCGACTCTCTCTCTCTTACCCCCTCGTTAGTCCCTTAGCCCCTCAGTTCTTAGGGGAAGCCCCTCTTTGGCGCTTTTGGACGTGCCCATACCGTTATTCACGTACGCGTCGTCGAAAAGTAAGCCCCGACACCCTGCGGCATGTCCTCGTAATCCGTTTCGCAGCCTAACCCCAGTTCCAGTTTATACAGAGAAAGAAATTACTTTGTTCTATATTATGTAAAATTTAAAATGAATTTCTCTTTTGGTTACAGGTGCCTTTCTTTGTTTAAATCGATAGTTTTATATATGATAATTTTTTGGGTAAATCATTGTTTTTCGAATATCATAACTAAGCCAAAAATCGGTTTATTCCAAAACGGATAGCTTTTCTGTGTTAGTTTTTACAGGCTTAACAAATCTGCATACTAAGTTATAAAACTTAAAAAATTAATTTTTTTTTGTAAAATTTTGACAATTATAACGATGTTATCGCTTGTAAATTATTGAAAAAATTTCGAAATTTAATTTTTTTACCGGAAATGTCTAGTTTGATTCCGCTTTTCATGCTGATCAAGAATATATATGCTTTATGGGGTCGGAAAGGATTTCTTCACTGTTTTTTAGGCTTGTGACTGAATTTATAATACACTGCAAGGGTATTATTTCTTTCAGTTCCTACAAGTCCCAAAATAAGTATAATATTCTCAGTTTTTTTACGGCACAATGTCTCGGGTACATAAATTATTTAAGCAGTTACCAGGAAATGTACGTAAATGTTAGTCATTAAAAAAAATAAGAACTCTCTTTATTTAATTTCAAAAACTATTACCAGAAAATAAGGAAGTTCTTTCTTTATTTTTAATAGTCTAAAAGTTTTTAAGGTTTTGCAATCTTAATTTTTCAAACAGCTCAACATTTCACGTTCCTGTATAAAAAATATAAGTTTATAAGACGGTTTCTCAAGTAATTTTCCCATTTTAAAACCTTAAAACCGTTCATTCTCTTGATAATAATATTTTAAACAGAGTTTTTATGATTTCCCATAACAAAATCAAACTCTGTGATAATTTTCCTCAGTGCAACTCCTAGTTCCAAGCGCCCAGTCCGAGCACTCCGTTATGCTGACTCAGTGGGAGAGGGTTTATCCGGTGGGAAAGGGACGAAGGCTCTGCTCCTGCAGGGGTCGCGGGGGATTGTTGTCAACTGGTTAGCCTGGTTATGTGCATATGGGAGTCGATTGGTGTCGTGGCCAGAAGCCCAGAGCGTCAGTTTATGTGGCCATAAGGCTTATAAATAGCCCAAGTATGTGCCATGTCTTGTGCATTTCAAGCGGATTTTTGTTACGTTTTTTTTTGTACTTTCCTTTTTTTTTCTGGCAACCAATAGGGCCTGAAAAAATGGCTCATAAATGGTGTTGGAGAAAAGGTAGTAAATTGGAACAATTGATTTTTATTTAAGGTATTTGGTAGATTGTATGGGAAGTTGGTTTTATTGGGGCATTTATTTCTAAATGAAATGTACGCTTTATATAGTAACATTCTAATGAAAGCGTTAAAAGAATCCCTACTCATTATCTAACTATAGTAAAGCTTTAATCCCTACACCCTCATGTCACCAGAAGGCAACAAAGACATGTAATTGAAAATCGGAAATGAGAGTGGACATTAATGCACAATAGTAACACAATCTAACGGATAATGGTGCACAAAAGCAGACGCTGATGAGTTCTTAGTAGCTAGTAAAACTAGTACATAGTCCTCGCCCCCATCGGACAACATTTGCAACATTATTGGGAAAAGTGTGTGTGTGAGTGTGCTCTGAACAAGCAAATGGATTGGACTGCCGAAAGGAAAACTTAAGTGCAATATACTCAAGGAGCTGTAGCAGTTCAACATCTGGTCAGCTCACTTGGAAAAAAATCTCACTAGATAGCAGATACTAAGATACTAGCAGTAGGTTGAGGTAGCTGGTAGACAAAAAGACCGAGCAAACAAAAAACAAAAAAAAAGGAACCAAAAGCCGAAAGCAAAGCCATGACATGTTACTTAAATGAGCAACTTTGTTGGAAACAATGTCGACAGCGTCTAGACTCAGGGACTCGAGACTCGGGACTTGGGACGACTTGGCGGTGGTCTTGCGACAGGCAGCAGGACAACCAGCAACTCCTACTCACATCCTTGGGAGGGAAGGACGCACTAGGGGGTGGTCTACGAGGTAAATGTAAACTGACAGCTACGAAGAGGACTGCGAGAAAACCTTCCTAATGGGCTGCAATTGTTGGCATATCCTTGCGAAAGGGACTCTAAAGTTTGCTAAGAAGTTTGACACTTCCTTGTGGTAAATTTATCACTGTGCTAAGCCTGGGATATTTGTTAAATATATGCCTTAATTAAGAAAATCCAATTTTCTGAAGGTTATAAGAAATAGTACAAGGAAGGGAAGCCTATTAACTTCGCTTTAAAAAGCTTGAAATGTATATATCATTTCTAAGCTGATTAAAGGGTGTTTATTACTTTATTTTAAATTTCTGGGTAACTAGCTTAAAAAAGTTTGCGAGAATGGTTGTAAAGTATTTTATTTCTTACTTTTATGGATTATTGTTAATAATCTTCAAATCCTAATCATAATTTGTTCAACTTCTGCTGATAAAATGACTTAAAATTGTATTTAAAACATTTTACATAAAATATTTATAATTAATCTTAAATCTCTTACTATTTCTGACTCATCCCCTTTGCCGAAATAAATTGTAAGAGTATTCCAACTTGTGTATCCTTGAAAAAGTCCTTTGCCTTAGCCATTGCTTTTATTGTTGTTGTTGCGGCGACCGTTAGCTACAACTTGAGTGAAGTTGGCAGAAACAACAAGCCCAGCAACAAACCCAACAACAAACCCGAAACAACCAAAACAACAATGGCAATAACAACAACCACAAAAAAAAAGAGGCAGCAAAAACTTGGCCAGAAAAGCAGGAAAAATGCTACGTGTGCTAGGGCTTGTATGTGAGAGAGAGAGTTTTCCCATTGCATTTTTCGTCTACTTTGAACTTTTTCCTCTCCCCCGAAAAACAGAAAAAAAAACCCAACGCAACGCCGTGGCTCTCTCTACCCTCGATTGCTTACCCTGTTCGGTTGCATTTTGTGCACTGTAATCACGCAATCATGTTGCCCACTTCTGAACTCTTAATGGCAATCGGTGTAAACGTGCGCACAACTTTTCCACCACCCACCACCCACACAGCTACCCCACACAGCTTTTCCTTTTTTCCCCACCCGTATTTTCCACAACAACAATGAGTTTGCCCTTGCAAAACTCCTCCCTCTCTTGGCTGTAGGTGGACATAAATATTTATCTTTTGGCAAGAACTTGTTTGATATTTTAAACCCCTTCTTCCTCCATCCGTAGCCCCGATCCTCTCGTCGAGCTGCTCCTCCAATGATGTTTGCCCCGTACACATAGTTTTCTTTAGTCCATTCGCCATTCGGGCAAAAACTTGGCAATGTTCGGTAACAATTTCTGCATAAATTACACAGTTGCAACATGAAGCGGTTGTTTTGGTTCCTCAGTGTTAGGTGCTCCGGAATCCAGAATTGTTGCGATTGCAGCTTGAATTACCCGAAGCGAGCTTGTATAAATGCAGGACATGAGATTATAGCGAAGAAATGGCATAAAGTGATATGATTTTAAATCTATAAAACCATTTCTAAAGAGCTTAACAACATATACCTCAAAACACTAAAAACTTCTTTTACAAATACCTAAAAATATTATGAAAAGTATATTTCTGTGCTATTTATTTCTAGAGATCTTAAAATCTCTCCAAACTCTTTGTAAACTTTGTAAAATAATACTTTTCTTAAACCCATAACCGCTTGTTTACCACTTGACCAATTCAAGGACCTAAATTATGATTGCAATAGGAGATCCCTTCCGACTTGTCGGGCTTAAAAACTTCCGGCTTTATCCCATTTATTCCTCGCTGCCATCAATGTGCCCTAAAAGTGTCACAGTGAGAGCCGGAAAACTTTGCCATAGTCTTTTGGCCATGCAAAGCCAAAAACCGCAGCACAATAAAATATTTCGCAGAGCAGCGGCGTCGGGCGTCGGCGTGTGGGAAATGCAGTGGAAAATACTCAAAATGAAATGCACAATCAATGCGACACTTGGCCAAAAAGTTCCAGGCACTTCTGCCGCATTCCATACCCAGACACAAACAAAGTACAAATATATATATATACATTTGGATGCGAACAAAGAGCAACTCCGAGTCGACACGTTAAATTAAAATGTCACATAAATCTTTGCGGAAAATTTCATTAAAATACGCTTACAGCATAGAAGGCAAGCCCAAGGATTGTCCTGCTTAAAGGAGGGATGAAATCGTTTCAGAGCAAGTGCGAACCGCAAAACTTTGCACTTGTAGCTCGAAAAGGGCGGCCAAAAAGGATTTTTGGACAGCGGAGAGGGATCAACTTGGCTAGTCCTTGTCGGGGGTAAGGATAACGGGCGGGCGGATAACTGGTTCAAAAAATGGAAATTTTAATGGAAAAACTTGCAAATGCAAAGCGGAGAGGCGGTGGCAAATGGTGACCTTTCCGATCCTGGGAGTGATGAGTTAGGACCTGCTCTTTGTCGACAGGACAATTTAAGAAAAGGAATTGGAAAGTTTTCGGATATATTTCTGTGATTTTTGATTAAAAGTAAAAGTTGAAAAAACTTTTAACAAATAGAATTGATATTGAACTTGTGGACGTTTTTATATCCTTACAGGGTAATAGAATTTTAGTCAGAAGCTTAAAACGCAGTGAAGGAGTCATTTCCGACCCCATAAACTATATATATTCTTGATCAGCATCAACAGCCGAATCGATCTAGCTATGTCTGGCTGAAATCTATTTTTTTTCAAAATTTTCGAAATTTTATAAGGGGAAATTTTACATCTTTACAATGACCAAAAATTCAAAAAAAAATTAAATCTCTTTTAAAGTTAAATTGAGTATGCAGATTTGTTGACCTAACAAAAACTAGCATAGAACAGCTTTCCGAATTAAAATTAATCAATTTTTGTCTTAGTTATGATAATTTCAAAACTTGTATTTACCGAAATATTGGCATATAAAAATATTGAATATGCCTATTATATAAACCTGTTTAGACAAAGTATTACCCTTCTTAGTACACTCAAATCTTCCCTAATTTCAAATAAGATGAAATTCACAACACACATTACTTCCATCGATTCATGACTCAATGAAAATGCATGGAATTCTTAATGCCTACCTGGGGAAATAAAGGCGCACAATTTCGCCGACATGTCCTTTGATGTGATAACTGCAGGACGTATTCGGTGGATACCAGTGGGCGATGCTAAGGAAGATGCCCTCGCTGGCACTGCTGTCCTTTAGCGAATCGGAGCTGAGGAGCCAGTCGCAGACGCCATGCTTGATCCCCGCCGTCTCCACATGTCCTGGCCAGTTGCCAACGTTGAAATGGAAGCCCGTATTTAGCAAAGGACCCGCCGGCGATGTCACAAACTCCACATACATGTATTGTGATGTTCCTGTACCGATATGCAAATTGTTTAGGAGGTTTCTTCTCTCTCCTCGGCTGTTACTCACCGATAATGCTGAACGGGAACTTGCCCAGGCCGCAGAATTTCCCAATAAGTGGCGAATGCTCATCGCGTCCATCGTACACCGCCAGCCAGTCGTAGGGACAGTGCTCATTACCGGAGCCAATTGGCCGGATGGGGCAGGTCATCACATTCTCGCATCTGTAATTTGAGTTGAAGCATCATCATTACTATCTGGATTTTCACTTTGTTCCACTTAGCGGAAGGGCGTTGAAAGGGTAAATTAAATTACGACAATTCAATCATAACAAAAAATATCCTTGCGAAAAAAACTGAACAATTAAAAAACTCACGTTCCACAAATAACAAAGAAAATATAAGGGCTGCAGCTGCTGCTAAAAAAAAGGAGTTGGAATGAATAAAGAGTAAGGCTGGCAATTGAATAACTGACTGAGTCCTGAAGCTTTTAGTGTCTGGTGGAGAATCTGTGAAAAAATGTGACTGAATCAGAGGCGGAGTCATCATAGAGAATGGGTTAATCTGGAAATTGTATGGCATGTGATGTATTTTTCTGAAAGTATTTATGAATGAGTTGATAAATATGACTGAAAATGACGGAATTTATTAATGAAATTGGGTTTTTTTTTTCTTAAGAACTTTAAATATTTGATCCATGTTGCTGATTGACTCATTTAATCTTTATAAATTGAGAAAACAATAGTATGGCAAAGCTTATAGAGATCTATAGAGAGTCAGAGATCGTCTTTTTCTGTTTCTTTTTTAAATAAGAATCATCTTTCCCCTCCAATATGTGATTTTCTATTATTTTCTAGTAATATAGTAATGCACATATAATACCCAAAAACCATTTTAAAGCTTCAACATAATTTAAGCATTTTTAAACGTGTCTCAAAGGAATTACTTAACGTTTCTCTCTTTTTTTCACCCCCCTCACAAATGTTTTTAAATGGACTTGAATAAATGATTTGTGAGCTTCATAACTAAAAGGAAGCCCCCAGCTGCCGCCGCCCATGGTCATGACATTCATTTGCACTTTGCCAGCCTGGCCAAGAGCAGCGGGAAGGAAACTGGTGAAAAAAAAACAAAGTTTTCCCAGCAGAATGAAGAGTGAACAGTAAAAAAAATGGCAACGGAAAATCCAAAGCGTCTGTTTTGAAGCCTTTTCTAATTTCTTGCCCCCAAACCGGCCATTGAGAGGATGCTTTTAATTCTTTTTTTTTGCCGGTCAGAGTCTGGCTGGGTCGGTCGGCATAGTATAACCCCAGACTGGGGGGGCCAGACAAAGTGACCTTTGTGCCTGGCCATTGATGACCGGGATGCCATCCATGTCCCTGCTCACTCTGTCGATTCACAATTTTTCTTCTCGCCGGCGGAGCAGACTGATTGGCGGGCAGTTCAAAAGGCAAATGGAATGCCGTCTCTGACTCACCTCACTCACTCACCTGTGCGTGAACTTTCTAATTGAAAGCTAACTTTGGCAATTACCAACTGAACTTTAATCAAACGGGTGGCGAGTCAAAGGCAGTTGAATGTGATTTGGTCAGTGTAACAAAAATAGCAATTTAATTGACAGTTCCATCGAGCCTTCTCTATCTCTATCCGGGTTTCCTCCTTCTTTTTTGCGCTGGAAAGTTGGAAAAAGAAACTTTTGGGCCAACTTCTGTATCTATATCCATGTATATGTAGCCGATAGATAGATTTCTATTAGCTAGTCAGTTCGTTTCAGTCAATTTAATCACTTTGTCAGCAAGTTTCCCTCGGAGTCTGCAAAGAGCTAATCCAACTTATTGATAATAAATGCGTTGCTGGGCCGAAAGTTGATTACAACGGGCCGAAGGGAGCGACCAGAGACTGTTTAGTCTGTGGGGGCAAAAGTTTGTTTTCTTTTTTTCACAGAAAGAAAACATCAACTGACTGGTAATAATTTTGGCATATTAAAAAACTTTTTTACTCGATGACTTTTGCATTTGTTTGGCAGCCGCCCCACGTTCAAGTTTTCTGCTGTGATGGCAGAAATATTTCGCTAAGAAATTAGGAATGTTGTTGTGGGTTGTACTCGTATTTTTTCTTTGGCTCTGTTTTTTGACAGCCGCCAAAGGAAAAGGAGCTGCTGTGCAATAAAATGAAGTGATTTATAAAATAGCAGCCACACGAGGCAAGTTTTAGCTGACTTGGCAACCATTTCTTGGAAGGGGAACTCTGTAACTGGAGCTGTGAACCAGGTTAGGTTGGGTTTTATGAACTGGATTTATGGTGGATTTATACAAAGTTAAGGCGGATTATGTAGATTGTTAAAGGGAGAGGGAGAGAGGTGCGTATTTATTGATTGTGTACTCTGATATTGAGTGGCGTTATACCCTTGCAGGGTATTATAATTTCTGTCAACAGTTTGCAACGCAATTAAGAAGAAATCTCCGACCATATAAAGTATATATATTTTTGATTAGCATAACAGCTGTGTCGATCTAGCCATGTCCGTCTGCCCGTTGCTACGAAAACTAGTCCTTCAATTTTAAAGGTATTTCAATAAACTTTGAAGTTAGTCTCCTATATACTCTCACTCTTATATAAATTGGAACGAGCCAGATCTGACGACTATATCATATAGCTTCCATAGAAACTATCAATAAGCATATATGACCAGTAAGTAAATATGATCAATAAGTATCAATTAACATTACATTATTATGATCAGTAAATAACTATGATTAGTATATAACTATGATCAGTAATTAACTGAGTAGTACGTACGTATGAGTAGTAAGTATGTATGATCAGTACTAACTTTGAACACTAATAAACAATGACTTGCAACTTTTGTAACACAACACATATCCGAGACCTGGCCGGCAGCAGTCACTTCGTTCCGGGGAAGTTAGAACAAGTTGGGAATCATAAGTACACTTGTGCGAGATTTGTTTTTGGGCGAATTTAAGCTATTTGAGTGAAACTATGGAGTTATTCTTCTATATAATTTTACTAGTATATAAGTCGGAGCATGGCGAATCGGTGGACTATATATATACATATATATAGCCGCCATAGGAACAATCGGACGATTTATAGAACTATTACCAGTAATTAACTATGACCATTAATTAACTATGCCCAGTAATTAACTATGATCAGCAAGTTTTGATGCAAATTAAGTTACTCAGAATAGTAAGTATCTATGACCAATAACTAACTATAAGTAGTACGTACCTATGATCAGTGAGTATGTATGATCAGTTACTAACTTTGAACACTAATAAACAATGACTTGCAACTTTTGTACCACAACACATATCCGAGACCTGGCCGGCAGCAGTCACTTCGTTCCGGGGATGTTAGAACAAGTTGGGAATCATAAGCACAGATGTGCGAGATTTGTTGTCAAGCAAATTTAAGCTATTTGAATGAAACTATGGAGTTATTCTTCTATATAATTTTACTAGTATATAAATCGGAGCTTGGCGAATCGGTGGACTATATATATACATATATATAGCTGTCATAGGAACGATTGGAAAATTTTAAGAAAAGAATTATTACTTTCCAGTTTTTAATACATTTTCATCAAATTTGAAATAAAGCCCTAATATAATAATCTAGAATTTTGTGTAATATTTTATGAAAATCGGTCTACTATATCATATAGCTGACATACAAACGATCGTTAAAAATAGAGAAAAATGCAAAACTGTGAATGTAAAATTGTAAATAAAAAATGGATATGTGAATGAAATGAAAGCAGGTATTACTTCATTGTTTTTTTTAACATAAATATATATAATTGCATCTGCAAGGGTTTTTTGCTTACATTTCTACTGCTTTCTTAGAGAGTTATAAATGTTGTCTTTGGCTACACCTTTCTACTCTTTTTTAACAGCTTTCTATAAAGTAAACATAATTTAAGTAACTTTCAATCTACAAAGCACACACTCTGCTCTCTCTGTGTGTATTTCCCGGGAAAAGCACCATTTAAAATCCCAACTTGCCGCCATGATTAGCAGCTCCTTGCCAAGGGCTTGTTTGTCTAATCCTTTTCTGCAGACCGAAAGTAACTTAGACTTGCAAATTAATACACACTTAAGGAGGATTGTGTAGTCCCAAGTTTCACAAAACCCCCCCTAGTCATCCCTTCACCCCCGTTCAGTTTTTGGCCCGGAAAACCCAACTCAAAGTTGGCAGGCAACTTTGACATGCGTCTGTCGTGTCGCCTTAACTTCCCCTCTTTCCCTCTTTGGACTTTTCAAAAGGTAAATATTCAAATTGAATCTATAAAAATAAATTGAATGTTGCTTATCTAATTCCGACTTGCACGTCCTGGAAAGAGGACTCCTCCAGCTACAACTCTGACTCCTCCGCCTACGACTCCTCCTCCTCCTCCTCCTCCATCTCTGATTCCATCCTCACAAAATCGACAGTCGATGCTAAGGGAAATATGCTGACTCCCCGCATTTGCACATCAAACAAGCTTTAAGATACTACTTGGCCACTTCTGCCGGCCATTTGGCGCTGGGAATGTGCAAAGTGTTAAAAGCTGAAGGTTTTTCCCACCCGATCATAAAATCCCTGGCCCCAGGAGGGAGTCCTACTCGGACTCGGTGGCGGAGCAAAGAGCTTTGACCTACCCTCATTACCCCGGGTCCAGGGGTCTCTTCATGATAAAGCAAATATATTTTGTGAAAGGTCATTTCGGTTAAGCAAATGTAAATTGTATTTGTCGCGGCAGAGGCGTAGGGATGGCGTGTCCAAGGGGTATTTATACCAAAAAAGTAACGTTGAAGGCAGTCATAAAATATTTAAGCTCTGATTTAAGCCAAAAATGGTTGGCAGGTGAAAAGCGTCAGTCAAGGGAGAATTGAGTTGAATGGGAAATTGGGAATTAAATGGAACTAAGGTCCAGGTGGGTTTTTAGTTTGATACAAAATTGAAAATTCTGGGAAGAAATGTAAGGTTAAAAAAGGGTTAATCAATTTAAGTGAAAATCATTTAACAGTATGCTTTGAAATATTTGTATTCTCTGCAGTTTGTAGATTATTTTTAAATATTATAATAAATTCCTAGAGTATTAAACCCTCCCCAAAAATCCCTGTAATAAATACAGCTTTAAGGAATATTTGAAGAGCTAAAGACCAAAATGGCTGGCAGCTTTTCTCTCCACTCCTCCTCATTCGACAATTTCATCATTTTGGCATTAATAATACAAGTCAGCCATGACTGCATGCTGCAGGGATATTACCGCCAAACCCGCCTCCCCCCTTTTAGCCACAATCGAGGGCAACCTCACTCAAAACGTAATCCTTTAGCCAATTTTCCCAGGCACAAACACAGAGAGGGAGCGGTAGGGAAAGGGAACAGATGGAGGAGACACGGACCCCGATTCGGATTCCGATTTCCTAGATTCCAAAAGTGACGCATACAGATACCCGTGGCTGCAAGGACATGTCGCCAGCGTTTTCCAGCAAATTGGTGCCAATTTTTGCGACGAACGCTCTGTCAAATTGTCATTGTCAGCATGCCAAATGCATTACAACAACGAAAAAAAATACCAAAAAATCCTTTTTTCGGCAAATTCTGCCCGTCTGTGGGGATTGTGCAATCGGCGTGCCAAAATGACAAATTACAGGGTGTTGCATTTAACACTAATTTCGTTCAAAAAAAGAAAAAAAGAAAACCCAAAGAGGAAAGCCAGGAAAAAGGAGGTGATAATAAATTTGCATTTCCATTTCTCTTTTTATAAAATTGATTGCTCTGTTGGTTCTATAATTTGTGGCAATAGTTTAACTATTGATACAAAAAACTAAAAGAGGGTATAATTCGTTTTATAAATCTATGACGTTGATTGGTTTCGAAAAAGAGAGATGAAAAAACAAATATTTTATGCAGTTTTAAATGAAATTAAAATGTTTATGCTTTAGAAAAAATTATGATGAAAATTACTCTCTTGAAGGTATGAAAAAAACCTTTTTAAATTTAAAGTAAATACCTCCAAGGCTTTGAAAAATATATTATAAACCTTCAACCAAACATTCAATGTTAAGTTAATAGAAAACCCAAATAAATGTATTGAATTTATAATAATTAATTATTCAAACTTACCTCTGGCCATCCACTGCGAATTGTTCATTCTGCAGATATAATTTGATGTAAGGCTGACGGGTGTGCAGCTTGTAGCGACAGTTGAGGGCCCGAGGATATAGGCCAGGATATGCGGGTGACTGGACATAGCAGGTCTGCAGGCGACAATCCCGATACTCACGCTCGCAGTAGGATCTGGATAAGGGAAAGACACAAACACAATACAAAATCATGGAATTAGAGGCATGGAAATATTTAATTTAATTTGTTTCAAATTGGTTGTATCACTCAACCCGCAATAAATGTTTTCATCGAGAAGGATCTGCCTTTCGGCCCATTCCTCAAACTGCGTCAAGGAAGCCAGAAAATTGTGTTCACTGATTTGGAAATTTTCTGTTCACTCGCTTCTCATCTGGCTCGCCTTTTATATTTTTTTGTTTTTGCCAAAAAATTGTGGAAAATCCTCATTCTTTTCGAGTTTGGTGCGTATAATTTTCAATTTGTTTAAGTAAAACAAACGGAAAATCATTCAAAGGCAAAGCTAGCGTAAATATGATTACCATTTTTATTCCCTTTTTTTTTCTCTCAATCTCGTTCTCGTTTGTGTTTTTGTTCCATTTTACCCATCCTCCAGGACCTTTAGTCCTTGGCAATTTGCTTTGGTTTTGGCTCCTCAATTGGGTTTGGGTTTTGGCTTTGGTGTCGATGCGCGCGTGACCGCAAAATTAGCATAAAAATCATATTGGCCATGTGGGCACCAATTGTGGGTGGGTTTGGGAAATCTCCCAAAGGGGGCAAAATGCGGCGGTCGCTTTTTGATTGTATCTTAAAGAGCCAGAGAGCTCTCTTGATGCTATTTAAAGTTGAAAAAGATTGCCAAGCAATGCGCTAGAAGGGTCCTCGAAATGATGAAGCAATTCAATAAATTGAATTGAATTGCTTTAGATTGAAGAGATTTTTTAATAAGAGCTCTTAGCTTTTGTGTATATTTCTTTTAAATTAGTTATTAATTTGATGGGAGTTTAAGAGTGAGTCCCTGAATTTTCTTTTCCAGCTTTTTTTGAGGGGGTTTAAAAGAACAATTTTAAAAGAAACAATTCTTCAGAAAAGCTTCGTTTTTATAGTGCCTAAATGTATAAGCATTTATTTCTCAAAGACCATAGAGGATAGAGCTTCTATATTAGTTTCAAAATTCTCTCATTATTAGGAAAAATATCACTTTGACTCGATTTTTCTTATAAAATGTATGCTTAAATCTCTGCTTCTTCAAATTCAAATTCAATTCAACATTTTCTTCTCATTCTTCTTATTTTTTCTACTAGAGATTATATTGCAATTTATTCCTAAGAGACAGAAAAAAATAAACGCACGCCTCCCCTGGAAAACTTTATGTTCACAGAGACTTTTCCCCATTCCCATCTATCTGCATATACACGAGTATATGCACAAATATCATTTGAGTAAATCTAGCAGGTTCCTCCTTCTCGTTACTTGCATCCAAATCTTTGCTTAAAACTTGCAACTTATTTTATTAAGATAAAAGTTAGGAGGCTCTGGCAGCAAAAAAAAAAAAAGAAAACGTGGCAACTCCAAAACGAGAATCAAATAAAATTTAATGTCTGCAAAGTTTTATATATTTTTGTCAGAAGAGAGGAGGTGAATGAAATCCTCTCCAATGCCTTTTGGGCCACGGTTTCAATTGCCGACTTTTTACCCAAGGCAAAAAAAGGAAAACCGAGGAAAGCAAGAAGAGAATCCTTCAGGCATAAGCTTCCCCACCTTTTTCCCCGCTTATCCCGCGATTTTTATGCTTTGCCGCAGTGCAGAAAGCACAAGTAATTCAATTAAATGCGACCTTCTGTTGCCCGTCTGGCATATGATTATGAAATGTGCAAAGGGATACGATCCCGATGCCTCCTCTCACTCAATATTTCAGTAATAAAATTGAATTAACGCCGCCGAGTTTCGGGTTCTAAAAAAAAAGGAACAAAATCCCGGGAACCATGTCTTTGTATGTAAGCCATTTATACTCACCCCTGGACAACTTCGCCGCGACGATTTGGATATAATTCCGGATGTTGGCCATATCGCAGATAGACCTCGGTTTGCTGCTCGGCGCGTGAATCGAATGTGAAGTAGGTCTGCAAAGGGGAAAATTGGAGAGATATGAGTAGGAGTAGATAGAGTGGGATGAGTGGACAATGGCGGAAAATCACGTATACGCAGTGGGCCACCACCCCCCTGCCGCCAGCCATTGTTACTGATGAATTTTGTCAATTTCCCTCCCAGCTTGGCACAACGTCAGACAATTGCGTGTTTCGCTGGCGGATCCCGCCCTCTGTTCCATGCTCCTTTATCCTTCCGTTGCCGCCCAGCTTTCATTCCATGGCCTGCCACATGGAAATGTGCAACGTCATTTGCCCCTGCCACCCCACAACCCACCACCCAGCACACAGGACTCTGAGCTCTCTCTCTCTCTCTCTCTCTCTCTTTCTCTGTCTCCCTTCAATCCATCCTGTTTGCCAGGTTCACAGTTGCTGTTGTTGTTGTGGCTGTTCCTGGTCCTGCAACGGTTGCCGTTGCCTCATCAGCGCTAATGACGTGCTGCAGTGACGTAGACACCTGGCACGCCCCCTTTTCACCTCAGCAAACGGTGGGAAAATGGCCAAAAGAAACGGAAACGGGCGGAAAAGTTGGGAGTTTTTTCAAAAGGGTAACGAACTAAGATGAAGGGGGAGAAAAAAAATATATTATTTTGCATAAAAATGCAGACAAATAATTAAAGCAAACTCAGAAAACAGCGGGATACATTTTTTAAGCAATTTAATTTAAGAATTTTAAGAATTTAAAATAAGAATATCAACTAATAACCCTTAAAAGCATTATTACAAATGAATATAATCAAAATGCAAAATAAAGCCTTGCAACTAACGTATCGATATATTGTCTGAATTCCCTATCGAAAACGTTGTTTATTTAACCTCTAGCTCATTTTAATTGTAATTAAATTTATCAATATATATTATCACACATCCCATAGGCTCTAATTCGATTTATTTCGATAAATGCTTCCGAAAACAATGATTAATTATCGATGAATGCGATTATTCTACCGAATTCAATTACCAATACGATTGCCCCAAAAACCACAGCATACATAATTAAAGCCAATTCACCAGTTTTGATTCGATTTAATCGCTAATCGAACTCCTGCTGTGCCCGGTTCCCCAAAAAACATTCATTTCAATTACGGTTATCGACGGGTAGTCAAAATTATCGAAAACAGAGGGAGAGAAGGAGAGCCGCAAAAGCGATTTCCTTATTCCGTTCACCTGCCGCAAAGTCAACGTCATGGCTATCAATTCGTACCCCACCGTCCTTCTGCTCTGGCAGCCTTGATGGCCACATAAACCTCGTTGGCCATTTTCCATCCATCCGGATGGGGATGGATCCCCCACTTTTGGGGAAGAGACAGTCGGAGGGGGTAGCAACGTAATGCACATGTCAATATTAAATGCGTTACCGGCGTCAATGACGTTAGCGCCACTTAACGATGTGAACAATGGCAGACGCAGGCTCGTTTCGATTTATCCAGATGCTGTTCACGTGGATATAGCATTCTGTTTAAGGGGAAAACCCCCTGAAAAGCGCCTTATACACAGAGGAAAAACTTGATAGAGAAACTGTGCAAAAATCCTGAAATAAAATATGAAACAAGCCATCTTTTATCCTTATTTTGTGGCTTCAGAAAATCTATTAGTAGGATAGAGTGTAGTCCTTTCTCTCTGTGTAAAAATCCCAACTGCATTGAATATTTTCCAACGAGGAACCCATCGCTGATCCCGTTTGGAATGAATATGATGATAATGATGATATGATGCCCATGGTCGTCGCCCCGTTAATGTCCTGACAAATTTGCGCTCGAATAAATTAAAATTTCAAACTGATTTGTTGCCCACTGCTGCTGCTCTTTGGTGTCCCCGCGTTTTTGTGCAAATTATTTTTGATTTATTTTCGCACGGAATTTATGTTAATGCGAATGCGAAATTATTTCGTTTCCTCTGTTCCGGGGACTGGTCTGCCGCCGTTCCTCATTAAATCGTATTATTACATTGCCAGTAGAACTGTCGCTATATTTTTATTTATTACCGAATAAAGCCCATGACTCGCAAAAAGTTCCATCGTCCCAAAAAAAGTAAAGAACGAAAAACAAAAACAAAAAACTGGAGAAAGGAATAAGCACAAAGCGCAGCATCCGCCGCCAACTTTCAACTTGCAACTTCCAGCGAGCTTGGAGAGTTTTCATAAATATTTATGACTACATTAAGGTGTGCATAAGACACACTCTGGAGGGTGTCCTGCCAGCGGAACCTCCTCCCCCGTGTCCCGAGTACCCTTTTGCAGCTGGGAGCTGGGAGCTGGAAGCTGGATGCTGGCAGCACTCATTCATGGCTTTAGTCTGTGTTGTTTGTGTTTGCGCATCCCTGCTGCAACTTGTTGTAAGCCGGGGCCATAAAGCCAATCGCCTGCATTGACTACGCACTACGGCAAAAAGGAGTGCAGGAGCTGCAGGATCGGGGAAACTGTTTGACTTTGGGATTGGATTGAATGCAACCAGAGAGCTTGAATAGAGTTATGACCATCTGATTTTGAAGGTTAAATCATTATGATGGAACGAAGGAGATTGTAAATCGGTTTGGCGATTGAACGGATACAGGGAAAATCCCATCTGGCATGACCCATAGAAATGTTCACAAAGAGATTGACAGATCTCTTTGTAAATATATCCCAGAGGCAATTCAATAACTATAAAAGCATATAAATATTTAAGAGTAAATATCTGCAAATATTTAAGAAGTAAAAGAGCCTTTATAAATTTATTTAAAATTCCTTTTCACAAATATATTCCCTTAACTAGATTATTCCTTGACTTTTCTAGACATCAACAAAGTTCTTCATTACTTCAAATGAATGACATTTTTTCCCCTCCTTCCTTATCTCATTATACCCTGCTAGATATAAAGAAAAACCTCATTTTTCCAGCCACTATCCCATCTAATAAGAAGCTTTATTGTCTCATTTCTTTTGGGGATAATTTCCCTCCATCTGTTACCATTTGCATGGCATGCATTTTTCAAGGGTTTTTCCTTCCGCTCTGCCATTATAAATATTGAAATTCTTGATGTGACATAAAGAACTTATCTTTCATTTTATAAATGCAAATACCGCATCAAAAACGCAGCAGCAGCCAAGCAAGTTGACGAGAAAAAGAAAAGAAGTAAATAAATAGAAAAACAAAAAAGCTGAGGAAAAATCTGAGAAGGGAAAACAGCAGCGAAAATGTGAACGGGGGCAAAGCTAAATAGAATTCAAGTTGTGAACTGAAAATTCGCATAGATGTGTGTATAATCTGATATATATATACGTATATATATATATATCAACTAAAGGAGACTGACGGCGCCAGCCAGCCAAAAAGGATGCAGGAGACACGCGGGACACACCGACAGACTGATGCCAGACAACAGCTCCGCCCACTCCTGAATAATGCATGCAAAATACAAAAAAGGAGGAGGAAAAAAACACACACACACAAAAGGGAAAAATGAATATAAAGGAAAATAAAAATATAAAATATACACAGGACCCAGACTCTCTCTCTCTCTCTCTCTCTGTGTGGGTATAACTCTCGCTAAGTGCGAAAGTGAGTTGCATAGATGCAACCAAGCAGATAGAGCAACATGGGTCAGGACATGGCAACAGCCAACAGCCAACAGGCAGTAAAAGTAGGGAGGTTGGTCCTGGCAAGAAGTTGGTAAGAGGAGCCAGGAGAACGAAAACAGGCAGCCAAGACTGGTGTGCTGTAATATTTCCCTTAAATTATGTGATAAATATAAATATACAGACATTTATATACGTGCACTGGGGGAAAATCAAGGATTTTAAAATCTAACATAATAGATATAATTAAAATTAAATCAAGTTTAGTTTTCGCAAAAGAAACAAATACATACATTTTACAAAATGAACCATAATAGGTTCCACAAAACGAAAAGAACTGAGAGTCCACAAAAATGAACCTAAATTTAGTTTCCACAAAATGAACATTTAAATTCCAAAGAATGAACAATGAACTCAAGATCGAAATAAGAAAAGCAAATATTCTAAGGATTCTTTCTTATAATATAAAGTAGTTTCATTATTTTTCCAAAATTATTCCCTCCTCACCCGACTTTTCTCTCAGCGCATCTCTATATATATATATATTTACGCCCCTAGAAATATGCAAGTAACCAGGACAAGGGGACTTTTGTTTATTAGTGTAAGTGGCAAGACTCTGGCGGCAGGAGGCAGAAGATACAGGACACAAGACGGAAGACAGAAGACGATAGACAACGGACGGCAGGACTTCAAGGATGCCCCGGCTGTTGTGTTGCTCTAGCAGTAATTGGAATTCTCCTTTGAATTCCTGGCACAAAAATGAAAAGTCCCATCGAGAGGGGAGGATCCTTCCCTAGGACACGAAAAACTGCCTCTCACCTGATCCGTAAAGTTGTCCGTGTGGAAGAGAACCTTCACATAGCTAGTCTCGCTGATGAATGTCTGCGGCTGCTCCGCCTCTCCGCAGAACATTCCCGGCTCCCGGCGGTTCGAGACATCCGTCTTGGCGTTGCCATCAACAATCTGTAAACAAAAGGAACGAAATGAGACCAGGACCTCTTAGACTCTGGGTGCGTGTGTGTCAACGCTTTGGCAAAGGCATAAATTAGCCACCGCCACCGCCACCGACGCAGATAAATCTTAAGGAGCAACCACACCCACCTGCAAATATCCACCCTCGCAGTGGGTGGCATTCAGCAGCTGACCCACTTTGAACTTCTTGAACCGCAGGCGGAGCACAAAGTCACGCGGCGCTCCCTTCAAGGTGCGGAAGCGGTACCAGCAGGTCAGGGGACGTCCCACATTCTGATTGCTGACCTCCGGTGAGCTGATGTCCTCGAAGATGTCCACCGTCTTGTTGCAGTGATCCCGGTCTCGCCCGGAACCGCCTTCTGCAGAGCTTCCACCACCACCACCGCCTCCGCCTCCACCGCCGCCACCTCCTCCACTGCCGCTGCCACTGCCACTGCCACCTGGAAAAAGATAGGAAAAGGATTAGAATTATATTGAAAATTAATGGAATACATATAGCACTATAAAATAGGGATGCGTTTGGAATATCTAAAAATAATTCCCTTTAAATTTCTCTGTTATTCTGGCGAGTTCTTGATTTGTGAAGTCACCATGTCTGTTCATTTAATTCCCCATTTTTTGAAGCTCTCACATTTGATATCATATGTTGTCAGTCCCCTTTTCATTTGTAATCTCTTCAGTGTATCTAGAGTTACCTTCATGTGGGTACAAACCGCAAAACTAGGCTTATTAATAATCCCTTTTCGCCCGGCTCACCTCGGGCTTTATTTCTTTTTACTTTAACAAAAAACATGCAGACAGGGAGACAGATAGACAGACAGACAGTGAACTCCTGCGGCCGTTTCTATTCATTGTGCTTAATTTATACAGCGAAATGCATAAATGACAAAAGGACATTGTGCTGAATTTGTAATTCAAGTCTGGCTGTTGACAATGCCACCCGCACTCTCAATCCCTCTCTCTCCTGCGTCCTTCCAGGGGGACCAATCCCGCCCTCATGCAAAAGACGCAGACATCGTTGTCCCTGACTGTGACAAAGACCAAAAAAAATAAGAAAGAAAGAAGGAGAGAAGGTCCTGCCACGCCTCCACCCACCAAGAGCGCCCACTTTAGCAGTCAAGGCGCGTAAAATTTTGAGGAGAGAACTGAGACCGAGAACCGGAGAATTGGAGAACAGAAGTGAGATTCGTGTCGAGAGTCGGGTTTTTCGCGTCGAGTGTTTGTGTGGCTTGCCTTATAAATTACCCCAAAGGCGAGTGCAAGTCCTTGCCGAGGATCTTTTCGCCTATAATGCAAAAATATTCTTGTGCTCAACTTTTTAATCAGTGAAGAGAACTTTTGGGGGTTCCAAGAAGGTTGGGGGTTTGCAAACAAGACGGTTACGTGACCAACATTTTTTGTCTTTTTAGCATTTTGCATTTCCCTGATTGTTTTTCTTTTCTTGTATTATTTGTATAAGTTTTTTCGCTGTTTAGTTAAATTATGAAAGGCAAATTGTCTGAAGTTTATGTGAGAGGAATAAAATATATGAACAAACCAATATGATTCTGATTTCTCTTAAGATTAAAACCTTTACTTCACAAAAACACTTTCTAAAATCTAAAATAAAGTAGAGATATTTCCCCATAAAGTCCCCTTTTATGAAGCTAAAAGTGGAACCTTTTACCACCGCCCTGGCTTGGCGCCTTTCTAATGCCTAACATAATTATAATCAAAAGAAGGGATATACACCTCAAGGATATCCGTGGCGCCAGGCTCCAACCTAATTGAATTGGCGACTTAATTAATACGAGAAAAGCTTTTTGCAAAGCGACACGGAAAGAGAGTAAGAGAAAATGCTTATGGCAACATCAAAAAGGATTTAATTAAATGAAATATCATACACTTTCATTTCGCTTAAAGGATGTAAAGATAGGTATGGGGTGGGGCGACAGTAAACCGCAGCAGGGAGCGGGTATTAACGCTAAGGATATTGCTTCAAAGGCACTAGAGGACCCTCTTTTGTGCAAATCGATACACGCGAATGTAGATACATCAGAATTTTGACGAAACGCAATCAGCTTAGCTGCAGGCAAACCCGGCCGGAACCACTGAAACCGCCAGCCAATATCGCCAAGCCGCGCGGCGTGTGGTCGTAAGCTTAACAAGGATCTCCCAGGCAGTCCTCTCCTGCCCTGTCCTGTGTGTCCTGTGGGCTGCTTAAGCTGAAATCAAGAAGGATTAGAGGCTATAGGGGGTGGCTGTATATTTCAAAGATTGGGGAGTTGGGTTTCATTTGCCGTAGGCGACAGGCGAGATGGCGTCTAACAAATCTGTTTAATTTATCAGCGTTTCATTATGTAATACACATTCTATGGAAACAACAAAGGGGGTGAGGTTCTTGGTGGGGGTTGGAGAAAATTGTGGCTTGAAATTCTGCTTTTGGTAATTAGCGGTGGACAGGCAAATACCGGAAAGACATTGTGGTTGTTATCTCAAATTTTTGAGGAAATGCCAGGTTTTTTTATTCTATAATTGCAATGATAAAATCCAGAAATATTTATATAAGAGAGCCGAGAATGAAAGGCCTTTGGTTAAATATAAATAATTGTATTTCTATTTAAAGAAAATTTCACAGAGAAGTTAATGTCAAGTCTTTACTTTAATTATATTTTAATCCTCTTCTTTTACCAAGAAAATTAAACCATATATATGATCAACGCTTTCACACCATCTCCAGAGTTTAATCTCTTTTCGTGCAGCCCATAAATAAATCAAGTCAATGACTTTACACCGCATTCCCCAATGTCCGATGAAAACTTTGATGAAAGATTCCCCTTAAAGTTTTTTACAGCCTCTCTCCGAGTTAAAAAAAAAGAAAAGAAAACGAAAAATAAAAACAAAGTGAAAAAAATAAAGTAAAGCAAAAAGCAACCATCATTCAGCCCGAGGCCTTTGGCCTCGTCAGCAGCAGTTGCAGTTTCTCAGGGAGAAAGGAAAGCAGACGGAGAGCCATGATTTAAACACTCGCCAAGTGGCAGACGGCAGAGTCCAACTGGTGGCACTCACTCACTGGTTAAGCCTTAAGTCGGCTCACAGTATCCAGCTTCTATATAGTGCCTCCTCCAGCATCCTCCTCCTCCTCCTCCTGTTTGGCTCTTAGTGCGCCTGGGTTCTTTGGTCCTTAATCTTCGTCCCGTAAAGTTCACACAACTATTGTCACATGCGATACACCCACTCAATGGGTTACAGGCCCATTGAAAAGATGAAGTAGAGGAAAAAGGGGGAAAGGAAAAACAAGGCAAGGAAAAGCAGGGCTCTAGGCAAGACAACAAAAACTAAAAACAATTCCAAGTAGACAGAATACACAGAGGAAAATAGGACTAAGATCTTGGGAATTTTCCTCAACTTGTTTTCAAAATATCTTCTATGATGATTATTTACCTTCTTTTCCCATTTAGACTCCAATCTAAAGTTTGAACTATATTTATTCATGTTCAAAATATTAATTAGAACCTTAAACTTGCCAGCAAACTATTCTATTTGTGTTTTAGCTTTCCAACAAATCGATTATCGGAGCTCCAACGACTTGGGGAGTGCCAACGCCATTAGATTTTCAACTCCTTTTCAATGCTTTTCCTGGAGCAGCTCAAAGTCAAGCTGGAAAAATGCCGAAAGTCGCTGGTCCTTTGCATATATACACGCAATCTCCTCCCGTTTCCCGACCCACATGTTGATATATTGTCAACAGACGCACATAGCATTTGTCTCGGCTTTCCCTCTTTGGTTTTTCCTCGCTGCGTGTTGGGGTTTTCTTCCCCCTGCCCTTACATGGTGTCCCTTTTTTGATAAAGGTTGACAAGCGCCCCCGCCACTCATATCGGCTGGTTTACACCCACTTCGCCTTCGTCCTTGGTCCTTGTCAACAGCCATTGAGAAGGCCTTGCCGTGGCAGACATGAAAATCGATTATGAAAATCGTTTGTTCAACATTTTTCACGCTGATACGCACCAGCAGCAGCAGCAGCAGAAGTCGGAGCCTCTGGTAGATTTCTCTCTTCTCTCTGGGTTTTTTATTTTTTATTTTGCATTTGCATAAATATTTTAATAGAATTTTCGTCCCAAAAGCGGCTTTCACTATTTTGCAGCTGGGACTGCTCTCGTCGCGTTGTCCCAGAGATTGATGTTTAATGTGGAAAAGGTCCTGGAAAAAGGGGGACGAACGACAGGGAAAGAAATGAAATTGACTTATTCAAATAAGTGATTTACCACTTGACGAGGACGACAACGTCGTCGGACACGGACCCAAAAAACTCGTAAAATACAGCAACAACCGGGAATTTGCATAAAATTCGGAAAAAGCAACTGCCAAACAGCAACACTCAAAAATGGATTCTGGGTAGAGACTTTTCCTTTCCAAAAAGCTGAAGTGGGTCCTCTTAAGGAAATGACTGCCAAGGTTTTGATTGCTTCGAAATGTGTGTGTGAGTGTATGGGAAATCTATTGACATATTAAATTAATACGGTTACAAGTGTGTGAGAGGGTCAGAGGTTATTGGGAAACGAATTTGAATAATAGCCAATTGACCTTTTTGGATAGGAGGTAGTTGATCCCTCAGAATAATTTTGGACACAGTTTTATAAAGAGCGAATAATTTATTGTATTGGGAAATTATATTTATCATACAATTAAAAGGATATAAAAGAAAGATATTCATCTTTGTAATTATACATATTATTATTATTATACATTTATTCACCAAAACAATAAGAGTTACAATTACCAAATTCTGTTACAGCATTCATAAAGGTTTCATGGCAATAAAATGTATTTTAAAACTTGACCACGACTTCTACCTTCATAAATATTTAATTTCTTAAGCTATAGCCTTGAATTTTGTTATTATTTATTGATATCTTTTTTACGATTTCTCTTTCCCTTTAAAATTGCTTATTTTAAATGATTAATTCCCCTAGCATAAATACCCCAAAAGACTTATTCTCATTTTAAATGACCTTCCTCGTTTCAGAAATCGAATCCCACAATTACAAATATATTCATTCATTGTCCAGATTTTTCTTTGAGGAATTTATCCCTGGCTTTGTCCTTTCTGTTGGCTTGTCCACTTCAAGGATATTAAAGATTATCCATCAACACCCCTCCCAAACACCCAAATGGCCCCTCTCCATTAAAATTTTCCTCCCCCCGGTCAAATGAATATAAATGACCTGACGCTTTAAATACTAATAGCCAGCAAATTCTCTCTTATCGGAGGAAAAACATTTCTCAACATTTTCCCCGTCACTTTTTATCTCATTCGATGTTTTTCTTTCTCTTTTCCTGCATTCTTGTCGGTGGGCGAACCAAAAGAAAAAAAAAGTTTTTGAACAAGACAATTTGTTAAAAAGGAAAGCCGGGGCAAAAGCAAAAAAAGCTCGTACCCTCTCTCCCTGCGGATGGTTCCGTCTGTCGTTGATAGATTAACTGTAACGGTGATGGATCATTTACTTAAATTATTAAAATTGCCTACTCAAATTTCACACACAAATGGAGAGAAAAAGTTATGCCACCCAGTGAATGATTCACTGACTCACTGACAGACTGATTGAATGCCCAATGATGATGGGTTCCTCGAAGAAGCAGGGGAAAATTCGGGAAAATGTTCAAGGAGCCACACAGAACGCTTTGAGGTGAATCCGCATTCTAAGCTTAGCGGATCTGT